CTATGGTTGCTGTACGAAATTACTACAAACTTCTAGCTTAAACAACACAGATTTATTATCATACAGGTCTGGAGGTCAGAAAGCAGAAAGAGCTTTCACTGAGCTACAAGTAAGGTGTTGTCAGGTCTGCGTTCCTTCTGGAGCCTCCGGGGGAGAATCTGTCTCCTCGCCCCTCCCAGCTTCTAGAGGCCACTGCAGTCAGCGCGTGGCTCCACCCTCCACCCCTGCAAGGCCAGCAGGGTAGCATCTTCTAGTCTCTCTTTCTTTCTGACCCTCTTGCCTCCCTCTGATGAGGTTCCTTGTGATTACATGGGGCCCATCCCGAAAATCCAGGAGAAACACCCCATCTCAAGATACTTGATCCCATCTTCAAAGTCCTTTTTGCCACGTGAGGTGACACACTCGCAGGTTTCAGAGATTAGGGCACGGTGTCTTGGGTGGGCCATTATCCTGCCTACCAGAGTAATGGCAGCTGCTGTGTCTCATTTTTCCTGTATTCTCCAGAAGGAATAGAAGTTCAAAAATACTTTCGAGTGAGTGAAAGAATGAATGAGCAGCTCCCTAGAGGCCAGAGGTGGGGGCAGAAGCCAGACTGGGGAAGCCGGAAGGCCCCAGCGTGTAACCTGAGCCAGCCCTATCATGCCCCTTCTACCCACTCATTTTTTCTGGCAGTCTGGACCTGTGGCATCCCCAGAGCTTCTGGTGAAAGGGCTCATTTTTTGAAAGGCACAGTTTCTGGGTCCTCTGGAGGAGTCCCTCTGAGCCCAGAAGGCTTGGGCAGGCTTTGCTTAGCCTAGACGGGCTCTGGGCACAGAAGCAGAGGAGAGGGAGGGGTAACTCATATAGACTAAGACACATGGTGACAATGTGGAGAGAAGCTATTGGGACACCCCTGGGCCAGGGCTGAGTCCCTGAGCCCAAAATGTCCTGCTTTCTTGACCCTCAGACTAAGAGTACCACCCACGTGCTCACTCAGAGGCCCAGCTACGCTCTTGGCCTTGGAGGCCTTGGGGTCTCTGGCCCTGAGAAGGGCCCTTCCTGCACTGCAACCTGGTGCGCTGCACGGAGCTTAGCTTTGGGATCATGCACACTCAGTCGGTGGTCTTTGGGGGAACTCATCTAAGCTTTGAGCCTTAGTTTTCTTGACTGTGGAAGAGAAATAGTAATGGCTCTCTGTCCAGGGTTTTGTGGGAATCAGTATACAGTGTATACAGTGAACCTCATCTGATTAAGTCCTAGTAACTGGTAACAAAGGCTGGGATCCTGGCTTCTATTCTGACATGTACTGGCTGTGCAAGCTTAGGGAGTCACTTCAGCCCTCTGGGCCTTGACTTCTTTATCTGTGAAAAGAAACAACTTGACCAGTTGCAGCCAGGACCGAGGGAGGCCTTGATGAACAGTATGGGTCATTAGTCCTGTCACTCTGCCCAAGCACCAGGGGAGACAGAAGCCCTTCCCAGAGTAGAGTTCCTAGGACCACTGGCCTCCCAGTGACCAAGCTCCTGGGCACAGACAGAGCAGGACAATCCTGGCTGCTGGACTTCCTGGCCCTGTACTTCAAGTGGCTATTGGAAGGCCAACAGCTGTGCCCAGCAAGTGGCAGCTCTTGGACACAAAGAGCCATGGAGAGGGCAGGGCACACTGGCTTATTGTCCTTGGACTGACAGGCAGCATTGCGGGTCGCTGCGGCTTCTCTGACCTCCACCCCTTCTCAACCCCTTGGCTATCCAGCTGCCAGTTCCAGCCCTTTGGGCAGCACCTGAACAGCAAGGACCTCCCGTCCTCCACAGCACCTTTTAGCAGGGGCCCTTAGGAACAATAATAAACTTGAAGAAGGTGTGGCTCCACGGACCTGGGGCCTTGAGCACCAGGCCACATCACTCCTTGTGGCTTATGACATATACCTCCCGCAGAGAGAACTCTAATGAAACTACTCCCTGGCTCGGGCATCCACAGGTATTTCTCACTATCCTCAGACCCCCGAAGAGATCACTCTGTGGGGCCATTTTACCGATGCAGAGTCTGTGAAGGGAGGACTGGAGTCACACAGCTACCACGGGACACCAAGCATGGCCAGCCACCTCCAGGAGCCAGGAGCAGGGCCCGGGACAGATCCCGCCTCAGAGGCCCCCTAAGAAACTAGCCTGCCAACTCCCGGATCTGGGACCTCTGGCACCCCGATCTGTTTCCTTGAGCTACCACCTCTGTGGGAACCTCTGTGGGAATCAGAGAAGTGATTAAATGACTGGTCCTGGATCACAGGCTGGGGACTGGCAAAGTCAGGATTTGAACGCTGGCCTGTCTGATGCCATGATCTGCACCCTTCCCATGATCTCAGATCGCAGGGTGGGGAGTTAAGGCAGATGCACAGACACCAGGGAGGATGGTGTGGCCGCACTCTGCCCAGAGAAGTGCTGGCTGAGATTAATCTAGGGCGCAGGGGACCGACATGGAGACTTCCCCCAGCTCCCAGCAGCCAGAGAATTCTAGAGCTCCCTACACGCCCTGCTTTTCAGAGCAATGCATCTATAGAGGGAGACAGGCAGGATGATGAGGATTCAGCAAATCTGCAGCTGAGTTCAATGAGCACCTCATAATGATGGTGATTAAAAATTAACACCACTGTTTGTACAGCGATTTGCATGTCCACTTTGCAGCCATGAATTAATTAATAAATGAAAAGATAAGCACTGAGGATAAGCTCCAGGGTGCAGAAGCGCAGCCTGTGCAGTTCCAGCAGGGACATCCCAGAGTTGGGCCGCCCGGCTCCCAGCCTGGGCCCCTCTCCAGTCGGAGGGCTTCTCTGGCCTGGGGCTCGATTTTTGTCTTTGCACAACTGGTTGCTGGTCCACTAGAGTTGCCATGAGGTAGTAGTATAAATGGGTGGTGGGCGGGGGAGGTGGGGTGCATGGGCAGCTGCCCCTGGTCTGAGTGAAGCAAAGAAGGGTGGGAAGGTCCGCCAGGTGAGAGACCCAGACCCGATCCTGGCTGACATGAATTAGCTGTGGGAACTTAGCAGTTACCCAGCTTTTCTTTTCTGTTTGTATTTGCTCATCTGCAAGAGGGATGAGGTCTTCCCAAACTAAATTTCCAAGTGGGAGGATGTACTGGTTTCCTAGGAGTGCCTAACAGGTTCCCACAGAGGTGGTAGCTCAAGGAAACAGATCGGGGTGCCGGAGGTCCCAGATCCGGGAGTTGGCAGGCTGGTTTCTTAGGGGGCCTCTGAGGCGGGATCTGTCCCGGGCCCTGCTCCTGGCTCCTGGAGGTGGCTGGCCATGCTTGGTGTCCCGTGGTAGCTGTGTGACTCCAGTCCTCCCTTCACAAGCCTCCTCCTCTGGGTCTTCTCTGTACCATGTGTCTGGAGTCTCCATCTCCTCCCTCTCTTGAGGACACCAGTCACTGAGTTTAGGACTCAGCCTCATTCCAGGATGATCTCATCTTGAGATCCTTAACTTAATTACATCTGCAAAGACCCAGGTCCAAGTAAGGTCACAGTCACAGGCCCCAGGAGTTAGGCCTTGGACTATGTTTTTAGGGGAGACAATTCCACCTACCACAGAAGGTATTTTGGACAAACAAAAGCCATGAATGTCAGGTGTCCTTATGCCAGAGTAATGATGACCTATCAGGAATTCCTCTGTGCATGCTCCCTGACACACCAGGTGCACAGAGGTGGGCCCTTGACCGAAGAGGAAGGGAGCCCAGGGGTGGCTGGGGAGGGGGGTCTCGGTTGGGCCCTCTTTCATGCTCAGCCCTCCTGGATGGGCTCTTTCCGGCCACCAGAGTGCCAGGAAGCACTTCCAGTGATACCTCCAGGGCCCTTGCCCTTGCTGGGCCTGGAGTTCCTCATCTGCCTGTCTGCCCTGCCAGGTTGGTGTGAGCTTTCAATGAGCCAGTGTTGACAGATGAATGTTTTCTTGGGACCGCTAATCAATGCACACAATCGAGGCCAGAGGAGCAAAGGGTGTCACCACAGGGGCCTCTCTGCTGCCCCTCCCACAGTTCTGAGCTTGGCCGTCTGCCTTCCTGGGAATGTAGCTGCCGGGAGGCCCAAGCTTCTGGAGACCCTGGGTCCCTTCCCTGCTCCTCGCAGCCCCACCTCGGCTCCAGGTGTCTCTCTCTCCAGCTATTTTCTTTTCTGAGCCAGAGTTCAAAAGAACAACAAATCGAGGAGTGACAGCTATGGGGAAACAAAAGCCAGCAGGCTCATTCTTGTTGGCCAGCCGCAGCCTGCAGGATGCTGCCCGCCTCTCCGTGTGCTCAGTCCAGGAGGGAGGGCGTTTGGGTCCCGTGGGCATCTATGCCAGGGCAACTCTGAAAATATCAGCTCCCGTAAGAGGGAGGACCAGTTTGGGGCCAGAGCGTGGGGAGGCGGAGCCCGCCCCTGTTAGAGCCCCAAAATGCTTTGATTGCACTGTCACTGTCCCCAGCCCTGGGGGCAAGGGTGGTGTAATAATAATAAAACAACATTTGCATAGAGATTTTGCTTGCAAAGCACTTTCTCAGGGGTGGGAGGCGCTGGGGTGGCTCTGCGGAATCCTGGCGGGGAGGCCTCACTGTTGGCTGGTCCCACCCCCAGCCAAGCTAGCGATTGAGTGCTTGGGAAACAAAGCGCTATTCATCCAACTGTTTCCGATTCCTCTGGACTTCCATCCTTCTCCCCTCTCTCCCATGAAGAGCTCACTCGGGGCTTGTCACTCAGGCCAGAAAAGGGATGTCAGGAGTTCCAGACAGAGGGGTTGGCTGGGGCTTGACAGGAAGGAAGGGGGGAGGCGAGAGGTCTCTCTCCCTCTGCACCCCTGCCCTGCCCCCACCCACTCTGGCCTCCAAGGCCCTGCAAATCAGAGCAGCCTCTCTGTGGCTGTTGCGTGTAACTCTTAGAGCTAATCCGTGGCTGTGTCTTCACGCAGAAAGTATGAGACAGGTTTGGTAATGTCTGTGCCTATGTGGTGTGTGTGTTTGGGAACATGCAGAGATAAGCAGCCTGCGGGGCTTTGCTAATGCCACCCCAGCAGAGGAAGCATGATCCCCGGGGCATCTGCACCTGTGTCAGGTGGGAGGTGTGGGACAGCTGGGCCCACTCCAGTGCAGCTGTGCCTAGACACTAGCCCGCTGTCACCTGCTCTCTGGCACCCAAGGTATAGGGGGCACCACTGGCCCCTGGCCCCTTAAGGGCATCCGATGAACTATATAGGGTCCACCTGCAGGGGCTTGGGCGGGTATTAGCAGTCCCAGCAGGAGGCGGAAGAGGCAAGAGGTATTGCTGTGCTGGAAGGTTCACGTTCACCTTTGAGAAGGATGTGGAGATGCAAAAGGGCACCGGCTTCCTGCCGTTCCAGGGCATGGACAGTGAGTGAGGACGGGGTGCCTCTTGGGGACCCTGCCCCATCCCTCCCAACCCTGCAGCCTTTCCCACAGGCCTCTCTGCTCAGCTCCCTGAAAGGGCAGCCCTTCCTTCTGCTGCTCACCAGGGAGGCAGAGCTGGGGGCTGGGCCTGGGATTCCCAGCTTAGTCCCTCTCTTCCCAGGGGCTCAGGCCTCCCCTCTCACACCCTCTCCAGAGCTCTAGGAAATGGGCCTGGCTTCTGGGCAGTCCATTTTCCAGATGGGGAAAAGTAGAGACACAAGGAGAGAAGGTGAATCACAAGAAGCCAGGAAAAACCACACGGGCCTCCCAGCTCCCAGGCTGGCCTTGGGCCCCTCGCCCCCCCACTCAACCCGTTTCAGAATTGGGGTGGCTTATGTGTTGAGGTCTTGAGGTCTAGAGACTGGTTCCAGAGGCCAGCGTCCAAACAACAGGGCTCAGGGGCGCCTTGCTGATGGGGGTGAAGGCCCCTGGGCTGTGGCAGAGTCTGGGGAAGCTACCTTCTCTCTTTCTTCCCCTTCCAGAGTTGGGCTCAGCAACTTCTTCACTAAAGGACTGTGGGAAAGGTGGGTCTGGGGTAGGCAGAGGCTGTCTGGCTATACTGGGTTCAGCTTGGCCAAGAACAGGGTGTCAGACCGGCACCTGGGGAGGGGAGGCTGGATGGCACAGAATTTTAATCTTATAAGTAGGCAAAGGGCACGTGGATGGCTCCACCAAGGAGCCTGCTCCTCCCACCTCAGGATTCCCCTGCCTTTGTAGCGCTGAAGAGGACAGCCAGGCCTGAAGGGGGCACTGCCTTCTTTCCTCCTGCTGGGGGTGGGAGTGTTTGCGGGCTTCAGCCTGTGTGTTCCTGGGAGGCCCCTAGTTCTTTATTTTCTCCTGTTTTCTTCCCAGCCAGGAAAGTGGCCCCTTCTCTCTACCCTTGTCCTCTGGATCTGGGTGGGACCTGGTCAGCTGTTCCATCTGTTCCTTCTGTCCTAAGGTAGCTCTGGCTACAGTCTCTGGAATGCTATCAACAAGCACCCCTATTTCTCTCCTGCCCTGACTTGCATCCAGCAATACCTTCTTCTAAGCCCCTCTCACCAAATGCAGCTCGCTGTTCTGGGCAGCCTGACTCAAACACAGGGGTTCTCGACTTTTCTTCTTGTTCAAGAATGACTCACAGGTTCTTCCTAAGAAATGCACAGTTGCCAAAGAGTCTTGCCTCTAATTTGGGGGTTCCCAGTGCCCCTATAGATCCAGGTTAAAAAACCCTGCTAGTGTGAAGGAGTTTAGGACTGACTTTTCGGATCCAAGTGATTCAGGTCTTGGGCAGCGAGGAGGCCAGGAGGGGCCCAGGCAGGGAGGCCCTGGAGCCCTTTGCCACCAGCCTCCCCTGTCTCTGGGCTGGGCCCTGGACGAGGCAGTGAGAAGGGGACTGACCGCTGGCCACCGAAGGCTTTGTGAAGCCAGGACTAAGTCTGTCTCCAGGGCCCAGGGTCCTCAGCTCCGCCTGTCCCTCCTCTAGACACCTTGCAAAGAACTAAAACTGTTCTTGTGGAAGGTCACAGCTAATAAGTCAACAGCTGAGGTGGGCACAGGGCTATTCACAGGGAACACCCAGCCCCTCAAATCCTGCCAAAGACTGGCAGAACATGAGGCCGCTCCTGCTGGAATCAGGAACTGAAGTGTGCTTCCTGCTGGTGGCAACACCACATTCATGAAGACAGAGTAAATAGAATATTTCCATTTCCTTCTAAATCCTTACAAAGTTGGCTCTGTGTCACCACACTATGACTCCAGAATCAGGAGGCATAGGTCTTTTTTTTTTTTAAGACATGAATTCAACAGGCCCTGAATAAGCACTTTCTATGGGCCAGGGAGGGAGTGGGGTCGGGCCCAGGGCTGGAAACCACGGCTGTGCTGTCTGCTTTCTGGTGGGAGCCCCATGGTAAGCCTGGAGGATGGGGTGTTGTAAGGTGTAGTGGGAGCTGTCCTGCCCTCCTGGGGGCTTCCTGAGGGCTTCCTGGGGGCTGAGAAGGGCAAGGGCAGGCTTCACAGAGAGGAAAGTTTGGCAAAGCTGTGGTAGTAGACCAACCATCCAAGACAACAGCATGTCTGTATTACCTCTGGCCCCCAATTCTGGCCTCCACTAGGGTCCAGGTAGGGGAAAGAAGGCAGGGCAGCTGAGGTCTGAGCCCCAGCACCCTCCTGGGAAGGCCCTTCCAGTGGCAAGCTGCACCCAGGCTGTGGGTGAGTGGGGGCCTCCCAGCTGGGTGCTCTGGTGTCCACAGGGAAGCTCTGCCCGTTCAGGCACGACCGAGGGGAGAAGAAGGTGGCGTGTAAGCACTGGCTCCGGGGACTGTGTAAGAAGGGGCGCGAGTGCAAGGTCCTGCACCAGTATGATGTCACCAGGATGCCTGACTGCTGCTGCTTCTCCAAGTTCCGTAATGCCCTCTCCCGGCTCTGGTCCCTGGTCCTGGATGGTGGCAGTGGGGACGGTGAGACAGGAAGAAGGTTTGGGGGGTCTCTCAAAGTACACCACACATGTCCAGGAGGCAGAACAGGCCTGTCGGAGCCTCAGATGCCTACCTCTGCAACCCCTTAGAAAAAGTAGATCTTTATAAATTCTTTATAAATGCCCCACCAGGTCAGGCTCACACCCCTTTCCCCCAAGGGTCGGGGGGCTGGCAGCAAAGGCTGAATTGTTTCCCTCTCCAAGAGTCCTGGCTAATCACACACCCGGACTGGCTGGAGATGAGCCTCTAATGGGCCATCCCTCAGTGCTGGGCTGAGTCCAGGACCGTGTTTCCCAAACAGCAGGCATTTGAAGCCACTTTCCCACTGCTTGCCACACCCTCAGAGTACCTGCACCATTGGCTTTACCATCATCTACTCTTTCAGCTGTCTTGCTATTTTTTCACTCTTATTTGAGAAGAAAACTTCCCAGTGCTTCCATAAATGGGAAACTAGCATCTGTACTGGCAATAAAAGGTAACTGTAAACACACAATCACGTGGTCCAGCAGGATGGCCTCTAACAGGACCTTGGTGGTAAGGTCTGGACTAATCTTCCCTCCCTCTGGCCCCAAATCCTTTTGACATTGAAGGGGTACATGGAGGAAAGCCACAGCCACTTCCTACCTCATTTAAGAAGGGAACCTGTGGGTGGGTTTCAGATCTGACCTTTCTAAATGAAATTCTACAGCTCTGTGCTTTTTGGAGCTGGAAGGAACCTTAGGGATGACTTCATCCTGTGACCAGCTCCAGGAACACCTCTGACACCAGGGACAGCTCGGGGGCACTTATTAATGCCAACGGGGGCGGTAGCAGGGAAGGTCCTGGGGATGCGGAAGAAGGCAAAGCAGCCCCATAGGTCAGCAGGAGCTCCTCCCAGGCCATGTTCTGTTTCCTGCCTGCTCCTCAGCGTCAGGGGCTGCCCATGTGTGTCCCTTGAAAGGACAAAGTTACATGTAGTTCAGCTCCCCTCTGTCGTCGCTTAAACCTCTTTTGTTTTAGAATGCTGCTTATTTATTCCTTCAAGAAGCCTCGGTTGGTTTTCCCTTGGGAATCAGGTACTATGCTGGGCACAGATACAGGAATAGGCCCAGATTCCCTTCTGCCCGCAAGTAACTGCCATGGTGAGGGGCAGGCATGTAGATCAATGATCACAATACATAACCTATATTTTTTTCACTCTTGGAGTAAGTGAATATCTCTAATATAAAGGCAAGTATCATTCTTACTAGAAGTAAATCGTTACGTTTTCAAGAGTTTTATTGGCCAAGTATTGGAAGGGGAAAGGGCAGGTGAAGGGATAGGAAGCCCACTGTCAGCCGACTGGAGGGTGAGGTATGGGCGCCCCCTGCTGGTTGCAAGAGGAAAGGCAGCGACGTCCGCCAGGCCAGGGCAGAAAGGCCCCATTGCACTGATGGCTTCCCATTGTCTCCATCTATCAGATGTCCCACTAGCCCTAGTGGGGGATGCTACCTCCATTCCTAAGAAGGCTCACGTCCAGAGCCAGCACTCTATCCACTCTATCAGGTGCTGCGCGGACGATGGGCCAGTAAACCCCCCATGGGTGCGAGGAAGCAGGAGAACATGGATGTGATATTTTGCCCTCTGAGCACTGCTGTCCTCATTCGTGGAATGAGAAGGCTGGGAAGAAACGGTGGCTTAAAACTCTTCGAGGTCAGGAGGCTCTTCTTCAGGTGAAACCTTGCTTTGCAGAAGCCCGTTTTACGTATAAAATAGATCCCTTTGGAGCAGTTTGAAAACCAGTGGTGTAAACACTGTGAAGTTCCTTTGGCTCTGAAAGGACTGGGTTGAAGACTTCTAAGGAGGATGAGGCTAGAAACACTCATCAATTCTCTACCTGAATGAGCTGAAAAATGGGCTGAATCTTCCCCCATGAATTCTTCAGAGCCTGTGTCCTCCTAAAAGAAATCTAAGGGGGGGTTTCTTAGAACTCGACTCGTCTATGCAAAAGGACTGCCTCCTTGTAGGAGACCCGCGTCTTGGCAGAATCCATGCACAGATTACAGCACAGGCTTAGTGAAAAACTACAGGCATCCCTCTGTGCAGCATCTAGCTTCATCCCAGTGCCAGTGTGGAAGCCATACTCTGCCGTCTTGGCATCTCATCCACCAAGAACTGCACTGTTCTGCTCTGCACGCCGTGCAGGTTCGCTGGGGGAGGCAGGGAAGGCTTTCATCACCTGCAGGGCAGCACCTCCATTTAGAGGCTTATGTCTTCTTGGGTCTTCAGCTGCCAGCTCGGGGTCTCCCTCCTGGTCTCTCTTTCCTCTCCATGGCCTCTGAATACCTTCAGTGCCAGTGCCTCCTTCTGGGTATCTGGCCCTGCCCCTACTCTTCCGGATGTGTGTATTCACGCCCTGCTTAGCAAATATTATTGGGATCCACCCTTCTTAGATTGTAAGGATTAGAAATACCCTGTGGTCGAGAAGCTGCTGAGGACCAGAAGGCAAGCAAGTGGCTTATGGGCAACAGACAAGGTCAGCTGAGCTTGGGGGCGGCAGAAGTGACAAAGACAAGCCAGTTTATAAAGAAGAACGTTGGGATTTTCAGGTGATTGCAACAACAGGAGATGTCCCTTTCTCCATGGGATGCCAGCCTTCAAGACCCGGGACAGTCCTTGGTATGACCAAGGTTTCTGCAAGGCTGGTGAGGCCCTGAGAGAATGGGAGAAGCAGGGGATGCGGGGATCTGGGTGTGGTTCTCCAGGCAGGGGAGGGTGCATATTCCTGATGAGGCCCCATAGCACATGCCCCTCGGTGGAAATCCCAACAGAAAAAAGGCTGTTCCAGGTTCTCCCTAGGCTGGCTCCAGTGGAAAAAGCCCCCCTGTGCTGCCAAGACATGTAGCCTGGTGTGGTGCACGGCTGGATTCTTGGAGCCAGCTTACACTGGGTTCAAGTCCCCAGTGACTGCAGAATGTATCAGCTGTGTGACCTCAAACAACTGAACTGAACAGGGGAAACACTCCCTCGCAGGGTCATTGAGCCAGTCAGACATGGGAAACCCCTGGCACAGGGTCTGGCCCACAGGAGACACTCGGTCCACCTGCCTTCTCTTCTCTATTTCTTTCACCCATCCGGGGGTATCCTGATGTCAATGAAGCATGTCCCACTTACCACATTTACGGCCAGCAGTCAGCAGGCAGTGTTCCCCATCAGAGTCCCTGTGCTCCGAGCACCTGCATCCTTTCCTGTGGTGTCAGCTATATTGATCTCATTGAGTTCTTGGCAGTGTTGGTTTTGGGGAGACTAGAGGGGAGGAGTACTGAAGGAAGATTAAAGTTTGGGGTTGGCTTTTCCACAGCAACTCCTATAGCTAAATAAGTAAAAGGCTTGGTCCACATCCTTATGAATCCTGCGGACAGCGTTAGGAACATTTCCAGCCCTGTCATTTCAGGCCTGGCCAGCTGACACCTGCACCGATATGTTCCAAGGTGTCTTCCCATCTCAGTCATGTGGCCAGGGAGTAGGTGCTTGGGGTAGGCTGAAGAGGACAGGAAGATTCACACCCCCATTACGTGCAGATCCTTCTGGCCCATAGGTCCCCTGTGCAAATATCGCCATGTCTGTAGGATAATGTGTATTATTAACTACTTAGCTGGCTTCTGCCCTGAGGGACCCAAATGCCAATTTGCACGGTGAGTATGATCCCTGGATGAACAACTCCCACCAAGTGCTGAGCCCACACTCTGCCTTCTGGACCTAGATCTTTCTGTACCTTCACTGGCCCAGTGTGGGAGATGAAGCGTCGGGCAAGCACCCACCTGCCATGTTTTCCTTGCTGGTCGCCCTGTAGCCACCCTTCCTCAGCGCCGTTGGCTGCACCAGACTTAACCCATGCTGTTAATGTTTATCCATGCTGGGGGTGAGCATATAGCTTTTCACTGCCTGCTCTAGAAATAAGAGTAGAAACGTTGGACACCCACCCCACCCCCAGTCCTCTGCAGTTCTCCCACTCCTGGCCAGGGCACCGGCTCCTTCCCTGTGGGGCTCTCACCCAGGAAACCTGTGGCAGACTGGTTTCTGAGCAGGTGACAGAAGGGCACAGCCAGGCTGTAACTGTGTCTTTCTTTCTGCACTTCCCTCAGTCCCAAGATGAATCTTTCATTCAACCCAAGTGACATGAGTGCAGGCAGTGAGGGGGCACACGTGTCTCCCCCAATGGCACCTCTCCTTGGGGCTCTTGACTCCCTGGCACTGCACTATTCCCGGCTGCCCTCGCTCTCACATGACCTGCTCCCAGTGCCAGAGCTGGGAAGGGTACATGGTGTGGTGTTGGTAGCCCACACATGGCTGTCCTCCCAGACCTCCCAAACTCTGTAATCTGTGCTTCAGGTAGGACATCTCAGCTCTCAGATGGAGGCTTTCGTCCTCCTCAGCTGCATAACGTGTGGTTTTGGTGAAAGAAAATGAAGCCCAGCTCAAGACCGGTCCACAGTTGTTATTCGGAATCAGGGTGATTGGCTGGGCCTGGTCCCTAGAGGAATGGATACCCTGCCTACTGATACCAGGCACTGATGAGAAGTTACATCAGGGGTCAGCAAACTATGGCCTGCAGGCCAAAGCTGGGCCATCACCTGTTTTTGTACAGCCTGGCATCTAGGAAGGATTTTTAAAAGGTTGTGGAAAACAAAACTTGTGACATGTGAAAATGAAAATTCCAGCGCTCATAAATAATTTTATTGCAACAAGGCCAAGCTCTCCATTTACATACCGTCTATAGCAGTTCTGATGCTTAGGAAGGCAGAGCTGAGTAGTTGCAACAGAGAACAGATGGCCTGCAAAGCTAAGAATACCTACTACTTGGTCTTACAGAGAAAGTTTGCTGACCCCTGGTCCGGATGACGGCCAGTTAAGTATGACGGAGGACAGACCAGGAATGCGGACTTGGGGGCAGCTACCGAGTTCTTGTTAATGAGTGGGCCAATCTCCAGTCAGTTCGCAGCGGGCAGCCCCTCACCAGGCTGGGCAGCTCTGGCGGGGGGGGGCGGGGGGAGGCGGGGAGGGCGGCGGCCCCTGCTGGCCCTGAGCGGGATCTGTGCTAGAGGGTGGGGAGACTAGCCAATGACTATGGGGCATTCACAGCCCATTCCTAATTTTCATCAAAAGGCATGCGTTCGGCAATTAAAACTGAGTAAAGGCATTTCAAAACCTGGTCTCAGCCTGAAAGCCTGGCCAGAGCCCCTGCCACTGGTAAAGCTGCCATACTGCACAGAGGGAATGTCTGCAGGTGTTTCCTCCTGGCTTTACCTGCAGCTCAGCTGGCCTCGGGGTCCAGCACCTCCTCCTGCCTGGGAGCCTCGAAAACCCCCTTCCCTGGGTGAGCACCTACTTCTTCACCCCCAGAAGCACCTGGTCTCCCACTGCCTGGGGCTCAGGGTGCCAGAGCAGGGCATGTGCCACAGGGTGAGTACAACAGCTGACCACTGGGCCACTGGCCTTGCGGAGCTGGGGGCGAGGGAGGGGTGATTAGCTGCAGAATGTGGGACTCCTTCTCTGTCACAGGTGAGAAAACCCTACTGGGACGTGAGTTAACAGAAAGCAGGGGACTACTGGTAAACCTAATGTTACAACTGGTCTTGTGATGTGTCTCCTGCCAGGCAAAACTGTTTAAAAGCTGTAAGTTAATTGTATGACTTGAATCTTTGATTTTCTATTTTACTGCCTATCAATGCTGAGTTTATATATAATGTCCTTAGGATGTGGGGGCCAGTTAAGGAAGGGAACCTAGCATATTGGTTTTCTCTTCTGCTATTTTCTGGTTTATCTGGAAGAAAAACATGCTTCATCACCCCCCCATGAGATAGCCTCTAAATTGTCCTAGGCTTGGACCTCTCTACTCGCCGAGAGAATATATTGTCAGGATGCAGGGACCCTGTCAGGATACATCTGAGTTATTGGCCTTTAGCATCCAGTCTTGTACTCTGGGAAAGAGACGCTTGCCTCAACCCAAGGTCTCTTTCAGGCCTGAAATGGAGCTTCACTTAGGAGCAGAACCCAGCAAACTCCTCAGAAAGCCAGCCAGCCATCTTCTCTGACTCCCTAAACAATTTAGGGTATATCTCTTGGGATTTAGATTTACAAAAAGTCATACCTTTAATGTTTTCTCTTTTAGTGTCAAAAAGTGGGGCATTATTCCAGTAAGTGCAGTAAGACTTGACTGGTTGGAGTTATCAGAAAGTAACCCCCTTTCTGAGGAACTGGAGACCTTCCAGTGAAGACGCCCAATGGCCATCCTGTGGGATGCTCTTCCCAATGCCCCAGTGAACCCAGAAGGCCTGGACAGGCAAGATGGCGGAAGAAGCCTGCTGCATTTCAGTTTGTTTGTTCTTATCCTGTAAGTGAACGAGCTACTAAAAAAACAAACAGGAATAGAAACAGATTGACTGTGGCAGGATGAGTTATCCATAAAACAGGGGAGCAGAATGTACGCATAACCCCAGAGCTTGAGTATATGGGAAAATACAATTGTCACACTTTGCTCAGCTCCTGGGCTGTTCCAGCAAGCCGGGGCCACATGTGGCATTCCTGTGCATATGGCCTCAACTGCTGCTATAAACCAGCAATTAAATCAAATGGTTTTCTTTAGCATGACAGCTGCTTGCCTGCATGGATCACTTAAATTTAAGACTATATTCTGGGCTTGCCTTGTGTGAGGAGTTACGGGGAGGTACATGGTACAAACAGGTCTTAACCTGGGGAGGTAAGGAAGTGACACGGAACATACAATGCTCTAGATGCCGTTGTTTAAGTCCAACACCAGTGCAACTGAATCCGCTGGGGGAGGAGCAGGCAGGCAAAGCTAAGCCTCGTGGAGAAATGGAGAAAAGAGCAACACACTGCGTGCAGGACTAGTCCCCCATGTTGGCAGATGAAGACAGCTGCCTGGCCTGCCTGGAGCTGCAGACTAAGCGGGTATGACAGTTGAAAGGAATTTTGGCCCAGAAGACAGATTTTGGGGGTCTGAATGGCAGCTTCACCCTGGGCTTGAGAAAAATACCATACAGCTTTGTAGGCAACTTAATCTTGAGCCCGTCTCCTCATTCTGGACAAGGAGCATGGTAATAGCACTGGTCTCAAGGTGGTTGTAAAGGTACAGTGAGGATGCATGTAAGGAGCCCAGCACAGCGTCTGACTTTGACAAAGGGCACGCCCAACCATTGCCGGATTTTAGTGTGAATTGTCAGGGTGTTGCTCTTGCTTGGTTCAAGCTTAGAATCTGAACATAGTGTGTGATGCCTCAAGTTTTAGAGGAGCTGCTATTATTTAATTCTTACTATGTCAGACCTTGATGGAATTAACAGATGCAAGACTCCTAACTCTCACCAAATCTCTGCAAAGTAGACATAATTGTCCCACTTTACAGTCCAGACCATGGACTGTAGATTAGATGAATTGCCCAAGGACACATTTACCCATTTCACAGGTTAAGGCTTAGGAGAGGCAAATGATCAACACAGGAATATTTCTTATTTTTTACAAATGTTTTTCTCATGAAGAGTAGTGGAGCTGGAAGGGGTGGGGTTGGCAGGTATTGAGAGTGATTAGGACAATCTGGAAATCAGGAGAAAAGGACTGGGGGATATTATGAGTCACGAGAAATACTTGAGCGGTGTTTCAGATGACCAAAAATATATATCCTAGGTATATTTGGTCTTCATCCAGTTTCTGAAAACACTGCAGTCTTACATGTGAAAGGGTGTTTGGCATGTTAACGAGATTTTTGGACCCCACCCAAGGGCAGGGTGGAGGCTGAATCAGCCAATGGCCAACAATTTAGTCAATTATGACTATGCAATGAAGCCCTCACCAAACCTGAGAAGAGCTTGTGGCTCTCTGCAGCCCTCGGTGGGACCCTGCTTCTGCTGGAGCTTCTAAGCTCAGGGAACCAGAACACCTCCACGAGGAGGAAGCTCCTTTATTTTGGACCTTGCCCTATGTCTCTCTTCACCTGGCTGTTACCTGGTATCCTTTACGGTGCCCTTTATTAAACCAGTAAACTGTTTTCAAGTTCTGTGAGCCACTCTTAGCAAATGAATTGAACCTAAGCGGGACATCACTGGATCCTCCAATCCGTAGCCAGTAGGTCAGAAGCACAGGCAACTGCCTGGGGCTTGCAACTGGTACCTGAGAGGGGGTGCGGAGGGCAGTCCTGTAGGACAGAGCCCTTCACCTGGGGAATCTGGAGCTGTCTCTGGGCAGTAGCGTCATAAGTAGTTCTCCAATGCCCTGCTGGTGTTTGTGAAAATTGCTTGGTGTCATGTGTGGGAAGGCCCCGTCCCACATACTTACACACACTGGAATTGGGTCTGGGAATAGAGTTATACTACTGTTACTGCTGTGTATAATATTGTTATTGTTTTATATATATATGTAGGAAAACATAGTCTCGCAGACTGCTAAGAACTGTGGCAGCAGATAGGGTTTCTCATAGAATGTAAAACACCCCATTGATAATATGACTACTTTCAATAGCTAAGTATCTTAATGTATTAGGAGAAAAATGTACTTTCCCCAGAGAACTCAGTATCTCAGACATGACACTCAGGACTAAAGTCTGATAGGTGGCACCACGGATAATCCAGCTTATGGACCACGTGAGTCATGGCCAGGGTGTTCAGGCAAGGCCGGCAAGATTCCAATCTTTGGTCATGGTGTCCTGCCCTTGTAAACAGCCTCCTTTGTTTTAGTCTCTTCAGAAGTCATGCTCCACCATCTCCTGTGGCATTGGCGAGCGCCTCCTTAGGTAATCAGTGCTTGGATTTGTTCCAGGGCAGCACTGGGAGTCCCCAAAGTCTTGAGCGATTCTTGGTACTGACCATGTCAAACTAAAAGCCCTCTTATTAAGACAGGGTCTTGCGTTTGTCTTCAAGTTGGCAAGGTCTACCTTTAGGACTGATGGATCATTAGGTAATTCACTCTTCTGTTTAAGAAGTTTTCAGGGATGTAAAACATTGTGCTATATTTACATTACACCTTTTCAATCATCTACTTTAGTATTCTGATGATGACTGAAGCTAGTCCTTGGTACCACCGCTTATGGGCTGTGGATGGTTCTGGGGGTAACAGCAGGGCATTAAGGTTCTAAGTCAAGAAAGGCTTCTACTTAAATGTGTTTCCTAGCCCAAAGCTTTTCAGAGCAGCGATTCCAAGTCGTCTTCCTCACTGCAACACAGGAGACCCTGAGGAATCACATTTCTCTAGGGCAGGGGTCAGCACACTTTTTCTGTAGGGCCAGATAGTATTTTCAGCTTTGCAGGCTATATGATTTCTGTTTCAGTTACTCAGCCCTACCACTGCTGTGTGAAAGCAGCCACAGACTCTATCTAACCAAATGAGCATGGCTGTGTTCCAGCAAGACCTGCTTTACAAAATGAGACAGTGGGCTGGACTGTCTGTGGGCTGGCATAGTCTGCTGACCCCTGCTCGAGGGGACTGGGGAACTGGACATCGCTGGCAGGTCATTCTCATCTACCTGCACACCTGAGAGTCTCTGATCTAGAGTAAGGAAAAAGGAGGGTGGCGCAGGGAGAACCCCTCCCTCAGTGTCTCTCTTTAAGGGCACTTACAAAGCATGGCCACAAAGTCATGCAAAAGGAAAGATGCTGTTTTTGGCATTCCAATGAAGGTCTCAGTAATGTTTACCTAAATGTACTCTTTTCTTCAGCCGTGAACTTTTCCTTATGGAGAATTCTAGTATAACCTTTCCCTAGATTCCATGAGAATCTGATGCAGAATTAAACTGCTCCCACGAGGGATAATGCAAGAGGAACAGAGGATTGGGAGCAGGAAAGGCAGATCAAGTAGAAGGTAGAGCCAGGATTCAGGTTTTGAGTTGTGCAAATGAACATGCTGGCCGGGGAACAGCAGGCGACGTCTTTGGTAGTTTTGAAGGAGCCGGGCCAACAGGGACTGACCTCACATATTCCGGCATGAGGGTATCAGCAGCAGAGCTTGGACAGAGAGAGGCCGGTCTATCTGTGACATCATCAACCCCCTGTGCTGGAACAGGGGGTTGGAGAAACAGTTATCTATTTGTGCTACCTCGATTAAATTTCCTCAAAGCCTCCTTCATCTGTAAGTATCCAAGTCACATTTTAGGGGCCAAAGTAGCTGTTTTGATAGGGGAAGAGACACAGGAAACCTGCCTAACCAAGTAAAAGGAATTTCTAAGCACTTCACTGAAATTTGTGATCTCGGTACAAGGGTGGGATTCTGAAGATTTCCAGGAAGAAATGATAAACAGAAGCTGTCTGTTTACTATTAAACCCACTTAAGATATATAAAAGCGTCTGTTTAGTGTGCTACTTAATTCTAAGCACCACTGAAAAATGTTAGGGATTTTTCATAGGCTTACCTGCAACTCTGTACCCACTCTTTCTTTGCTTTGGTGTTTCCCACACACGTCAAGAGCTAGTCAAGGACCCAAAAGAGCCTAACAATTCCCAGGAGAAAGGCCTGTCATGTCTGATTTTCTTCCACTTCAGATACTATTCTCTATCAGTTTATACCTAGTCTAGTATCTAGTACACATGAAGAGTAAATTGCCAAGATTTAGGGAACAATTTAGGGGAAAGATTTAAAATCAAGGTTTTAGTTTTTACTGAGAATTAAGAAATAGCTATTTAAAAATTTTAATGACAAACTTTGTCACTTTCATGCCTCCTTGAATAATATCAGCCTTTGATGATTAAACAGACTGAAGTTTTTTCAATTACCTTCAGTCACTTTTGAGAGCAAACCAAAGAAATGTCCAGACAGAACCAAATCTGTCCGCATTAAAAAAATGTACTTTTGTGTAACTGTTTAAGAGTCCAATAATTTTATTCTTTACACTCCCTCTCTCTGCCACAAATACCATTTAAATCATTAAATATGCGCTGCAGCTGTCTCCACTGTACTCAGCTTGGAGTCCCAAAGCTTTCCTAGATGGGGTCCAGGTCAATTCGACTTTCGCCAGCGCTGCAGCTCTTTGGATAAACAGAGACAAATGTAAGGATCATGAGGCCACTTCTGCGGCTTCTCCCTCTTGCCTCTATGGATCATTCCGTCACACTTTTGGTTTGTAAGTTTAGAAATAAAGTCTTAGACACGATGAGAAGGTTTGTTTCATTTTCTTCAGTCTCAATTTAGAGATGTGAAGAATAACCTCAGGTATCAACTCAATCCCCTTCAGACAGGTCAAACTCTAAGGGCAGGCCTTTTCCCTGTGAAAGAAATGACCTGACGTTTTAGGCATTTCCACTTATGCAGGGATGGCGAGAAAGGAAATCTTTCTCACCAATGGCCACGTGTGTTATACATTACCTACCAATGCCCTGCCAGTCAGGGTGTGGGAGTCTGTGCAGGCCCACTTCTGCTGCCTGACCCACTCCCCTACTTACTGGGCATTGACTTAGTTAAAAAATCCAATCAGTCATGTCCTGATATTTTTTCAAGTCTTATTATACAGTTTGTGAATTATATTGCTGTTAATGTTTATCCTGTACACTGAAAACTTTCATCTGAAAGTATCTAGGCCTTTTTTTAATTGTGGAAAAATACCGGGCTTTTTTGATATCCTCTTGTAATGTCCTTTTTATTTTTAACTGTGAGGATGTATTTTTAGAAAGCAATACTTTAAAAATTGAGCAAAAGTTATCTTGAACTATAAGATAAATGAAATTCAGGAATTTTCCTTCTGGTAAGATTTGGTGCAAGCTGGAACTCCTAAGTAGAAGGGGATATGTTTTCTTTCTTTCTTTTTTTAAAATTTTTTTATTTTGGTATCATTCATCTACAATTACAGAAAGAACCTTATGTTTACTAGGTTCCCCCCTTCACCAAGTGCCCCCCACATACGAAGGGGATATGTTTTCTAAATGTTAAAAGTAATGTGAACTAAGACAGCTAGCTATAAGCCTTAGACCCACTGGTGAGTGACAGCGGCATCCTGTATCTCCTCCTTTCTTTGGGGGTATGAAGCTATTTGGTTTTAATCCTATGACATTCTTAGGTACAAGAGCCCCAGTCTTCTAGCAGGCAAACAGCTTTCAGGAAAAGACATAAGACCACCAGATCCGTAGCGGCAACCTTCAATGGGGTACAAGAGCAAGTATGCAAATCCCAGTCAAATCTTACAAAGGCCTGTAACCAAAACCTCTAATAAAAAAAAACCCCCCAGGCCTCAGGCAATAGCTCATTTAGTAGAGTATGTCAGATAATGCAAAACTACAATATAAAAAGCAATTCAGAAAATCCCTTGGAGGTCTCCATAATGGGATGTGAGCTGTAATTTTGGTGAAAAATACAGAAAGGCTTACTCAGCTGCCTGAAACTCCAGCTACAACAAAGGATGAAGTACCCTGTAAACAGCATTGTCATGCCACCAGCTCCACTCTTCATGGTGGTACTGCACCTGACCCAGCCTGTTTAAAAAAGAAACATGCCTGTTACAGTAAGCTGTACCTAGGGGCCCTTATCAGCGAGTTATTCAAGTTAGCCCAGCTAGCTGAGGGGATGGAATTGTGACTCAAAGTTTACATAGCACTATATAAATATTTTTAAATAGATAAAAAGGCTAAGACCTTCATTTTAACAAATTTAAATCTGTTACTCATTTTTTGGGGGGCGCTTATTTAAAATCTTTAGTGGGGAGATTAATACGGTTCGTTAAGCTGAGAGTCTTTCTGGCTTTGGGACGATGAACATGGGAAGGAAAAGATGGGGGTGGGTGGCAGAGAGGCAGGGATAAGTATTAAAAAATTGAAGCTGTTCCGTAAATGCTAATTGTACTATATTAGCTTTGGTGTTTCCAATTATGTCAGACTCCAGCATGAAAATAGACAAGTTCAAGAGTAGGAAGATCACACATTTGTCTCTTTTCCTTAGCTTTGCTCTAACAGCCACAGCTGAAGTAAGAGGAACGTCTCCAAATGTGTGGAACCGGCACCAGAACCCAACAGTCGCTGACTCCAGCCTCACCTTTCTGCACAGCTCCCAAGAGCCTCATCAGAGAGTTGGAAGGTGTAAGGCTGGCCAGGGGTTCCAAACTCCTTATGGCAGTCGAACTTCTTTCCAACAAAGGAACTACGGTTCCAAACACAAGTCATGGTGACAGTTCATCTCGATCCATCCTCTTTCCCAACACAGGTTCCCAGGGTTAACCCACTCCCTAGGTGGGTTAATGTCTGCACTGGGCCACAGCTAGCTCTGTGTACTGAAAGTCAAAGCAATCTATTCCAGCTTAAAAACAGGTTCCTCAAAAGGCTGAGGGAGCCCCTGGGGATCAGGACCTAGATCCCCTTTTTTTTTTTAAAGATACCTTTTTGATCTGATGAATGTACTGTCCAGATGACCCATGTGTACATGCTTAATGAATTGCTTATATTTTCTATCATCTGCTAAACATCTCAGCAAAAAGCATGCCTTTCTCCTTAACTACTTCCACCTGTCACTGTATCTAGTCGACATGTCTGTTGTTACCCCTTCACTTTACTGACCAGCAAACATTTGCTATTTGTTTAGTACACGAATAAGCTCTGCAGAGCCACACAGGAGGATTTATGCTACTCACTTATATTTCTCCTGCACCTCTTCTTCTCTTTGTTTAGTGATAGGCGGGAATCTCAACCTCTGCTGGCTCTCTGGTCTATGTTTGGTTCATTAGGATAAAGGGTAACTGAAGCAAACATTTATGACAAGTTTAGCAAGTGTGGTAAAAGTTGCTGTCAATGTAAAAGTGCTATCCAAATGATCATTATAATAACCAAAGGAATGATACTTGCTTCCAAGAAATTACACAGAAGATAACTCTCTTGCAGGGTGAAGATCAGTCTCTTTAAGAACAAAGCATGATATAACCTTTCATCTTGGAAAAAATCTGAAGCAAAAGTGTGTGGGGGGTACCAACTTCATGAAAACTGCATTTGTATAACCACCTTCTGTCCAGTGTCAGGAACTGGGTGTCGTTCTCTAGCCAACTGAGCCTACTTACCTCATTACGGGTTCAAACTTGGTTGAATGACATCCAGTTCAGGCCCTGAGCTGGGTTATATAAACCTAAAGCCCTGGAGAGGCTACTCAGAACCCACAGAAGTCCTGTTGAGATTTTTCGTCTTCTTGCCAGCTGCCTAGGTCCTTTGGGCTCTCGCCTGCACCCCTTATGGCCTGGGGCTGCTCATGCCCCCTGCCGCTCCTCTACTGCCTCACCTCCTAGATGCTGTCCTTCACCTGCCGGTGTTGATGTCCTTACACTTCAAACCCAGTGACAATGACTCCACTCTAATACAAACGCTCAAAACCCTAACCCACCCTCTGTACCTCTGACATTTCCTGTCACCCCTCTGGCCTAGATGTAGGATTTGACTTACCCCTTGGGTCTCTGACTGTTGCTCACTGACATACTTTCTTACTTAAGAGAGCTTTCAGACTCCTCTGGCCGGCTGGTGAACCTAATCCTGGCTGGCACATGCTTGCTGTTCTGATCCTGACTCTTCTGAGGCTGTTCCTCACATGGATGCACTATTGATGGAAATGCTGTTTGAAGATTAGAGAAGAGCCTTTATTTAGCTGTTTCTTGGTCTTTAGAAACCCAGGGCCCTCTAAATTTTTCTCACTTTACCTTCAGGTAGCCCCTTCAGCCAAGCTTTGCTTTCTGTAGATTTTTTTTTTAAAGATACCTTTTTGATCTGATGAATGTACTGTCCAGATGACCCATGTGTACATGCTTAATGAATTGCTTATATTTTCTATCATCTGCTAAACATCTCAGCAAAAAGCATGCCTTTCTCCTTAACTACTTCCACCTGTCACTGTATCTAGTCGACATGTCTGTTGTTACCCCTTCACTTTACTGACCAGCAAACATTTGCTATTTGTTTAGTACACGAATAAGCTCTGCAGAGCCACACAGGAGGATTTATGCTACTCACTTATATTTCTCCTGCACCTCTTCTTCTCTTTGTTTAGTGATAGGCGGGAATCTCAACCTCTGCTGGCTCTCTGGTCTATGTTTGGTTCATTAGGATAAAGGGTAACTGAAGCAAACATTTATGACAAGTTTAGCAAGTGTGGTAAAAGTTGCTGTCAATGTAAAAGTGCTATCCAAATGATCATTATAATAACCAAAGGAATGATACTTGCTTCCAAGAAATTACACAGAAGATAACTCTCTTGCAGGGTGAAGATCAGTCTCTTTAAGAACAAAGCATGATATAACCTTTCGTCTTGGAAAAAATCTGAAGCAAAAGTGTGTGGGGGGTACCAACTTCATGAAAACTGCATTTGTATAACCACCTTCTGTCCAGTGTCAGGAACTGGGTGTCGTTCTCTAGCCAGCTGAGCCTACTTACCTCATTACGGGTTCAAACTTGGTTGAATGACATCCAGTTCAGGCCCTGAGCTGGGTTATATAAACCTAAAGCCCTGGAGAGGCTACTCAGAACCCACAGAAGTCCTGTTGAGATTTTTCGTCTTCTTGCCAGCTGCCTAGGTCCTTTGGGCTCTCGCCTGCACCCCTTATGGCCTGGGGCTGCTCATGCCCCCTGCCGCTCCTCTACTGCCTCACCTCCTAGATGCTGTCCTTCACCTGCCGGTGTTGATGTCCTTACACTTCAAACCCAGTGACAATGACTCCACTCTAATACAAACGCTCAAAACCCTAACCCACCCTCTGTACCTCTGACATTTCCTGTCACCCCTCTGGCCTAGATGTAGGATTTGACTTACCCCTTGGGTCTCTGACTGTTGCTCACTGACATACTTTCTTACTTAAGAGAGCTTTCAGACTCCTCTGGCCGGCTGGTGAACCTAATCCTGGCTGGCACATGCTTGCTGTTCTGATCCTGACTCTTCTGAGGCTGTTCCTCACATGGATGCACTATTGATGGAAATGCTGTTTGAAGATTAGAGAAGAGCCTTTATTTAGCTGTTTCTTGGTCTTTAGAAACCCAGGGCCCTCTAAATTTTTCTCACTTTACCTTCAGGTAGCCCCTTCAGCCAAGCTTTGCTTTCTGTAGCTGTGCAGTTTTTTCAAATTATGCTCTCCTTGTTTGAGAATATTCCTCGGCTGGGTCTGAGGCACCTGCTCCGACCCATCACCTACTATCAGCAGTTCTCTACCGTAGCTGCTCATCATGAACACTTTGGAAATGTCTGAACATGTGATTCTTAGACTCTACTTCAGAATCAGTCTCTGCGGGTTAGGCCTAATCTTCAATCTAGAAAAACACCCATGTGAAATTGCTAACTGTCCAGCCTAGCAAACAAGAACTGAGACCTCTTAAAATGAAAAGCTAGGGGACTGTGAGTCCCGCCAGCGCGGCACTCTCAAGGTTCAGGGGCTCTGGACGCTTTCCTGTGAACCAGGGAACCGACTTCTATTGCTGAGGATTCTCTAACACTTGCACTTGTCGAATCCCTGAAGAGACACATCTTGAACTTCCAAAATGTATTTCCTTAAAGGCTAGGAAAAATGACTTTTAGTAGGAGGTCCATGAAAAGCCTTCTAAATGAACAAAAGACGGCTTGCAATGCTTCCGGATTCCCACTCCTGATTTGCTGAAACCCATCTCAGCAGCATCCTCAGAGCTGTCAGTCTGCCATGGGCATACCTAGCTTAGGTCACCAGACACATTCATGAGGCACCACTTCACCTGTTTACTCAGGTACGCTGATGTCCGAGGCCTAGCTGTGACGGGTTTCCCTGCGAAGGAATGCACGGCTATCTTGGAGCCCAAGAGTCCTGCAGAAGAAACACCGCCTGGACAAACTTGGTGAAGACCATCAGGTAATGTTAGATGCCAACTATTAACTGAGACTTGACACTGGGCATGCTACTCATCCTGAAATTTGGTTTTCTCATCTATGAAGGGATAATACCAATCTTCCAGGATTGGCATTAAGATTACCTGAGATAACCTTTGCAAACATGCAGGTACCATACCTGACATATAGTTAAGTCAGTAACTATTAGCTCACTGGCTCTGCCTGTACATACCAAAGGAGAGTTGGCTTCCTGAAATAAAGAAAAGGCTGCATGGCTTAGCATGGGTCTTGCTGGAGCAAGGGAACGGATAGCCCATGCTCTTCGGCAAAGATTCCATGGAAGTTCAATTTTAATTTGCAGTCATTGGAGGTAGCTATTGCCTGGCCAAATTACAAAGCCTTCTGAGGACCTCACTACCTTTTATCCTCGTAGATTTGGATGGCATCTGGGGAGCTTCTCGAGAGACTGATTCATGATCCAGCTCAGTTCTGACATCTAGTCTCTCTCCCTGTCCTGATCTTTCACGTCTCTGTTCTCAGGTTCTAATCTCTGCAGCTTAATTTTTCTAGTGCATGGACTTCTATACCTTTTTGGCTATACCCTCTATTCCTGGTCCTCATTTCTGAACTCCTCACTTCCACCTATTTCCCTTGACTGCTCTTTGTCCCTGAAGGGTTTTAATCCCACCAGGCCCCTAAATCCAAAAATAGCTTCTGCCTGTACCTTCTTGGCTACTGTGAATTCCTAGATGTTGCATTTGACCACAACCCTGGAACCTATTCGTGTACAACCTGATCGTGATTGAAATCAGAACTCAGTGCTTATTCTATTTAAGTAGACCCTGAAGTCTTTTTCTTGTGTGTTCAGCTTGAATATCCACCCAAATTCTACTGCCCATGCCTCTTCCCAAAGTAGAAATTCAACTGTTATCAGTGTCACCAGCCAGCCTGTCTTAGTCCAACCTTCAACTCCTGGTGGAAGGTAAAGGAGAGTGATAAACCAGTTACTGACCCTTACAGCAAAAATTAATTGTTTTCAGAACAATTAGAAGTCCAGTGCACTGGAATTGCCAGGCAAAAATAAGCTAAATGAGTGAAAAAATTATTCTGAAATGCTGCAATTCAAAAAGCATAGCCATTTAGTCTGGATAGATGGCCTTTGAAAATGAGCTTTTTACCTTGTGAGAGTCTTCGCCCCTGGGGACTGATGAGCTGAGGCTTCTGGGCCAATGCATTCCAGTACTGAGGCTTCCCTGGCAGCAGCCCTAGTCCAAGATAACTAGGATAGAGCTCTGGAAACCACTCCAGCCCCAGGGAGCTTGCAAGAACTGCCTTCCTGTCAGCAACAATGACCTGACTGGGGAAGGGGCTTTCAGTAGTGTGATGCTGGGTTGAAGGTAAAGACTGGTCTGATGCTGGGGGCCAACAGACAGATTTGTGCTCTAGAGAAGTTTGTTCCTCACTCAATATTAACACCTTTACATTAGGAACTTGGTTATGAAGGCAGGCTTCTGCTCTCCCTACTGGAAGAAATTTTATAGTCAGAGAGGCAAGGCTTTGGTTATATGACTGTGATCCAGAAAGAAACTCATACCAAGTTGTCTCCCTTGGAGTAAATAAATTGAAATTGGGACCTTCACGTGGAGGATTCTCCCCTGTGGGTGAATCATTACTACTGAAGCTCTTATTTGTGTCACTGCTCCCGGAAGTCCATCCCTGCACTTCCGTTGCAGATACGCTCTTCTCTGCATTTCCTTTGCTCCCACAAGCCTCTGCTCCAAGGTTAAGTCCTTTTTCTTGGTTCTCCTTGAATTTACCCAGTGGGCTAACTTTAAAACCTAACATTTGTGATTCTGTGTTCTTTTCCTGAATCTGAGAGTCTCTAACATCAGCAGACAGTTCGTAGACGTGATTCCAGGCTTTGGAATCTCTCTCATTGCTTGACAATGACGTCCTTACTCTTTTAACCCCATAGTTGGGATTCGTGGGAGAACTATGATCACCACCAATAGGCATATCTGGTAATTTTACCAGAAGCTTCTGTCTTAGGGGATCAATTTTGTCCAGTTTTAAATTAGCGGAAGTGGTTTGTACATCATTAGGTAAGGCTGAAGAATGTTTTCTATCTTGACTTGATGAAGAAGAATCCATTGGACCAAGAGGTAAAGATGCTTCAGGTTTTGAAAGGTTACTTCTACTCTTCCCTGATCGGGGCACATCTTTAGCAATGTCTCTTTTAGGAGTGGTGTTCTCTGAATGATTAGACTGAGCCCTGGTTTCTCTCTGGAAAGTAGTCTTTGGTTCAGTACTTTTTAGCATTTTGAGGGCGGGATGAATTTGATTCTTGCTTTCTCCACCTGCCTTTGTGTTACATGCTCTTTCCAAATCAATGGCTAGTAGAGGGGAGGACTTAATGACCCCTTCCGGTTTGTCCCTTATCAATTTAGTATTTCCTTTCTCACTCTCTGTCCCTAACTCACTCTCTCTAGCTTTAGTGATGTCTTTGATTGGCCCTTTCATTTTCCTGGCACGTGGACGTGTAGCTGGCTTGGCCTGACAAACTTTTTGATCATCAGGTACAACTGGTTCTATCATCTTACAGTGTGGCAAGTGGGACTTCAATCGTTTAAATGGCTTCTTACAATAAGGACACACCTCCATTCTAGGTGGATATCACTCTTCTTTTCCTAAAAAAGGTAAATGTGAGATTTTGAGGAGCACAGTTTGTACAATAAACACTAGTATCTGATTTATGCGTGTAACTTTTAAATTCACTTGGAAGATTTGTTTTCATTATTTTTCTTACAAAGATAGAAAACAGAAGGAATCGTTTTATGATACAGATTCCTGGTTCCATTTATGCTTAGGTTTTCTTAAAAGTCTCCTAGGAATCAATCACTTTCAAAGACAAAGTTTTTCAACATCCTTTACCTCAGAGAAGAGCAAGGCCAAAAGACTTAAGTCTAGTAAATCACTCCTTAGTGGGAGGAGGTATGTCCAAAACGTCAGATTTAAAATATTTACTATTTAAAGTTACAGCATCTCAACTGGATCTCACATTAGAACAAAGAGTTAAAAACCTTTAAACACATCATTCAAGGAAAGAATGGTGAGGAGTTACCCAACCAGGAGCAAGAAGCAAGCAGTAGAACGTTATCTAAGCCTAAGAAATTAAGCAAACAACCCGCTCGACCCTACATGAGGGCAGGCAAAACAAGTTTTGTGTCAACAGACTGTACAAAGTAATTATTCTCTGACGATGAAATCAAAGTTATGGGCCGTTTATTTACAAAGCTGAAGCCCAAAGGCCTTAGGCTAGTAACTTTAGAAGGCGCTTGACATCTGTTAGACGGGTCTCCCTTACAGCCCTCCACCACACTTACTCCTGCTGCAAAGATCCTGGGCTCTCATCGTGTTAACAGCCACTCTAATTCTCCCATAAGATGCTGTTTTTGCGGTCGTGTCTTCTGGATCCCCTTGCTTCACGGTCGCCTTTCCTAGGTTTGGCAGAACGAAACTCGAGAATCAGAGGTTAACTCGCCATCACCAACTGAATAAACGGGGCACAGCACGGGGCCAAATACAAGTTAACGGTTATAAGCGGGGCAATTTCCCCCTCGGTGTTCCGGAGGGCGGAGAGTTAAGACTTCCCCAGCCTCCCGAGCACGGGGCCCAGCTCAGAGCTCCGGTGATCCACGCCGTCACCTCCGGCGGACGGTTCCCCCGCCTCAAGCCCTGGCCAGTCGTCCTCCCCGCCCCTTACTTGTTTTTCAAAGCCGTCCGGCGGCTTCCAGCCGAGTGGGCGGGGACCGCCGGGCTGCTACCGGGCCCGGAACCGGCCTGCCCGCAGCCTTTGCCCGAGGCGCTGCTGCCGCTGGGACGCCGGACGGGGCTCGTCCCAGCGACTCCGGAAATCATTCGCAGCGGGCCCGTCACCCGACGCTCCTTTCACCCCGGAAGACCCCCCTAGACTTAGGGCGAGGAAACAGACAGGCCAGTGGCGACTCGCCCAGGGTTGCGTCCCCACCTCGTAAGAGCTGAGGGGCCAGAAAACCCCCGCGGCAGCCCCCCATGCACCGCCCGCGAGCTGCTTCCCAACTCCCGGTCCGCGGGCCCACGGCAGGCCGTCTGCACGACTGCCTGATGCTTCTCAGCTACATTTTAAAAAATTGCAACCTCACAGAGACTTAACTCAAATACATGCATCTTATTCTTATGACGTAATTTAGTTTAACTTAGATCTGGCTTGACTTTTACGCTGTCCCCACTTGGCTGAGAACAGGCGAAAGCGCGGGCGTCTACCACTGCGCAGCCGCAGGAGGGCGGTACCACGGCGGCTGCGAGATGGGGGGGCGCGGAGCAGGCGCCGGAAGTAGCCGTGGTACGGATCCCACCGAGGGGTACTCACCGCAGGCGGCGTCCACCAGAGCCGCGGCCAGAGCCAAGGCCCGAGGGGGTGGGCGTGGCGGCCGCCGAAACACAACACCCTCTGTTCCCTCATCTCGTGCAGCGGCTCCGCGTCGCTCCCCTCCACCCGCTACCATGAGCGAGCGCCTCCGCCCCAGGTGAGATCGCAGGGACCCTTTTCTTATCCAGCACCTTACCCGACGCTGTGTCTTGGGGAATGGAGCCGAGGGGGTGCGCGAAGCAGGGTCCGAGCCAGCGTGCGGCCTGCGGTTCCCCATCTGGGTAATCTGCAGTCTTGGGGAGGAGAGAGAGGGATGCGCGAGCGATCAGGTGCCTGGTCCCTGGGTCCTGGAGGAGTGAGTCTCCAGGGTCTGGGTCTCGCCCCACACCATCTTCCCGGTACTTGGAATGAAGTCTTGTCGGTCCCGGAAAAGGGATGGTGGTCCTAAAGCTTCCCTGTCCTAAATTTAGGAGGGTGGGGGGATGGGAGGAATGTCTGTTCTTGGAGAGGGAGCCCCTAGGGCGTCTGTGAAGGGACGGGGCGGGAGCTCCTGTCTCCCCAAGGTCAGAAAGAAGAATTGGGTTTAAACCCGTTGCAGGGAAGGATTGGGTTAGACTGAAGAACTTGTGCCCGGACGGTTGTAAATACTGAAGGGCTGATGACAAAAGTGGCTTGTGGGCTGTCTCTTGGGGATGTAGCATTAAGAGCAGGCAGGATTCTAAACTGTTTGGACTCCGAAGGCGGAAGGTAGGATTTTGTGATGAAGGCACTACTTTAACCTAGGAGTGTTGGGCTGGCTTGACAAATACCAAGTAGAATCTGGACCACGCTGCGATTTCTTTCCTTTTTTTTCTCCTTCCTTTTTCTCTGAGAAGGTGGGGAGAAGAAAGTTGGAATTAGGTTACCCCAGAATGAAGAGAAGCAGTTTTATTTCAAATTAGAAAAATCCCTCATCGTGAAGTTTGGAGTGAAACCCTATAGATCACTAAGTCCAACTCTCATTTTTCGGATGAGGAAACAGATTTGGGAGAGCTCAGTGGATTTACCTGGGCCTTTCCAGGTTCGCTGCTCTTTCCTTTATTCCATACTACTCTCAGTGAGGCTTAAGTGAACACAATAGGGTTTCCTTGGTAGGTTATTCTGGATCTTTCCTAGATGTTCCATGTTTTCATTGGCTTTGAATTTCATTGGCATTCTTTCTCCAAGGTCCTGCTCTGGTGATAGTTAATTCAGGGATTAAGATTCTGAAGAGGATCCTCAGGTTATTTGGCCCAATGGAGAAAATCTACAGTTCCCCCAACTGCATTGGCTTATTGATTAGGATTATGTAGTGAGTAGGCCATAAATCCTCCTTATATAGAAAATAAGAGGGGATTAAATTTGAGATTAGGGGCTCAGTTACCAACTTGTTACGGGAATTAGGCACAAGATCTTTGGGTATAGTAAGCCAGATCTGACTGCCATTTTTTTCCCTTCCAAAACCAGTTTTCTACCTTTCAGTCTCTTGGGATGTCTCACATGTGTGAAAGTACAAAAAGATTCATTTTATCCATTGTTGTGCACAAATCTGAATGTGCTTGTACTGGTTAGCAGATTGTTTTTATCTTGTACACAAATGATCTCAAACATATTTCCACCGATAACTTCCTTACTATAAAACAAGTGTTTTGATTTGGGTGGAATTTCTTACCAGCTTTTCTCTTCACCCCATGTCTCGTGGAGTATGACGGACCAGCTCTTTTGCTCCAGCTACCTTAGTATCTCCAAGTCAGTTCAGTTCTCTGGGTTTGTTTTCCCAATTTTAAGATGAAGCATTGGTAGGATGGTGGTTTTTCAAAGTGTTTTCATGGTATTCTGGGATCATTATAGAGGGATGGGTATGTGGCAGGGAAGCCCCAGACTTTAGTTAAAATAAGTCCTTTATCTCGTGTATATTGAGGGATTTTTTTTGATAGGAAGAAAGGGCTCTTTTACTCTTTTAAAAAGTTTGAAAACCGCTAGTCTCCATACTCTAGGATTTCTTCAATACTCAGTCTCTAGGAGATGACAGGAAGATTGGAAGAAATGACATGGTGAAAAGTGATGCAATCAGCCATCCTTAGAAATAACAGATACTAAACAATAATCTGTAACTAGATGGCTAGGGAGAAAATAATCAATTATAGGGTGGCTGCTAAAATTACAACCTTGTCTATAGCATTAATGTTGAAAGCTATAATCTGTGTGGATGGGATTGAGCATGAAGCTATAATATTACCAATTATGAACAACATTGGTGAAAGAAGAATGTTTTAAGGGTGGAATCCACAGAGCCTAGGATATGGAGAGTGAAGAACAGGTAGGGTTCATTCTTAATCCAGTACCATCTAAAGGAAAGGGACCTCAGCAGGCCAGAGAAAGAATTGTGGTACCTCTAGAAATCAGCTGTTTACAAGGCAGAGGTATTTCACAGGATTTTCCCAGAATTTAGTGGAAATCTGCAGAACGAGCCAATCCTTTTTGTCTTTACATGCCTTTTTGCCTTTCAACCTTCTTGACATATTGTCACAGGAAATATAGATCTCCCATTATAAATGAGGAAACTAAAGTTTTGCTCAGGCTCCTAAGTTTGGTTAGAGTGACTCAGCAGTCCAAAGCACAATCAGCTGTTGGCACACTGATAAAAGAGCTTGGGGACCAACACACTGCCATTCCTATGAATTTTTCTTTGGGTGTCATCTGGCTTTCCGTTAGACATTACTCTTTAACTGTAGGTTATTTCCATGAAAATTCTCTGGTCATATTAGGATGAAAGTAGCAATTTCTTGGTTCAGTCTTGATAATAGCACATCCATTTAATGGTTATTAAAACCGGGTATTGGTCTAGTTGTTAACCTCCAAGTGCTTCAAAATAATGTGCAGATCTAATCTCCTGGGAGAAAGATAGGGAGCAAAATGATGATCTTATTTTATAAACAACTAAGTCTTAGAATGAGGTAAATGCTGTAGCTTTTTATAGGTTAGTAACCTTTATCAGAACCACACACCCACTATTTATTATTCCAAGCCTAAACTAGACCTATACTCATTAATGAAGTTAGATTTATTCAGAATGTTGTAGAATACAGGAAGGGAATTGAACTCAGGGTGATAAAGTTTCTTCAGTATGCAGATCTCAATTCAGAACCTTAGGATAAAGGGTCTGCCACAGTATTATGCTACACTACTCACACAGAAAATGCATAACTATTAGAAGGTAACTGTATGCTCAAATTCAGTGCTTTCCAAAAAGCTTTTTTTCTCTTTAGCTATAGATATTTGAACCGTTAAGAGTTTTCATTGTAATAGATTATGCTGTTATATGTAAATTGGCCTCTAGCCAATGCTGTCCAGTAGAATTTCTGCATTGATTGGAGTGCCCTGTGTCTGTGTATCCAATACATTTTGACACTAGACATATGTGACTTTTGAGTACTGAAAATGTGGCTAGTGTGACTAAGGAAGTGGATTTTAAATTTAAATGCCACAGGTGACTAGTAGCTACCATATTGAAAAGCACAGTTCCAGGCAATTTGACTTGAAATGATAGCTCCTTTAATTCACTTCTATTTTCTGTCTTCTGAACTGGGGTTTGGAAGTCCTTCTGACAGCACCCGATTCTTGAATAGAATATATACAAATTTTGTCTCTTGCACATCTGAGAACATTGGACTATAGCAGATGTGTGATTTTTCTTTAATCCTGAAAATTTTAAGCAGCTTGTGCTACAACCTTAAAATAACAGCCTGGTGAAGTAATATATCATAATACTAGGTGAATATAGCAGGAATAATTTAATTAATGTGTCTAAGAGTAGACTTTCCAGTGACCGTACAGAAAAGTAATTTAATACTTCAGAAGATGTAGAGTGCAATATTTAGGTTTTTGTTTAATAGGGTAATTGGGGAAAAAAATCAGGGATGAAAGAAAACTAAAGATTAAGGCATGAACCTCTTAAAATATATTACTGTGAGCACCATTGTTATAGGGATTTTAAGGGTAAATAGGCAAAGGCAGATGCTCTGTCTTAGATGTCATACAGAAAGGAGTAAAACTAGGTAACTTGGAATTGTAATTTCAGGAAATAGAGAAAGAAGATAAGCTTAATTAGGTGGAGTGTGAAAGCTCAGTTATTAACATCCTACTGCTCTTATTTGTTCCCAGTAGGCATTTAAAATTGTCAAGCTTCTTTTTTGAAATTAGTTGTACAAATTAATTTAAATTCAACCTTGCTGCTATTTTATGTTTTCTGCTCTTTGTGCCGGGCGATGGTGTACCTTCCAACCTTTTTTTTCCTATTGGGATATCATTTGATGAATTATGTTTTCTCAGGCAAGAAAGCAAATTTATATGTTCTTATCGTTTCCAGTTTTAAATGTCCAAAAGGTTGGTTGTTGGATTTTATTTTTCTTTTTGTGATTTAATTTCAGGAAAAGGAGAAGGAATGGCAGTGAAGAAGACCTCCATCTTCCCCCTCAGACCAAAAAGAGTAGTAGAAACCCTGTCTTTCACGATTCCTGGGACACAGAGGTAGGAAGTGTGGTCAGTCTCTGCTGTTTTCATTGATTGAGTTAAGTAATTCAGTTTCTTCCGTGCAATCAAAATTACTCTTTGAAGAAATAGAAGTAATTTTACTTGGTTGCAGTGGTTCCAAACTCCCCTGGCCTTTTTTTTTTTTTTTTGAGTCATGGCCCCTTTGAGGAAGCTCTGCACACTGTCCCCAGCAAAGCAGTATGTGTCTGCATATATTCATGCATGCATGCACCCCCAGCCAGATTTGTATTTGTTAGATGTTTCATGGACTTCTGAAAGCCCATGTTTGAGCTCCCTATTTCATATTTCAGAAACCGATTTATTTTCTTTATAAATCAATTATTTGTCCTTAAGACAAGTATGTTTTGTTGTTTCCATTCACTTTAAGACAAACCATATGAACACTCAGGAAATAAAATGTATGTGTATGCAAAATCCTAATTTTGAGTGGTTTTACATTTTCATTGTGTTCTAAAATGAGCTACTGTGAAAGCAGAGTGGAAGGGGGAAGAGAAGAGAAGGAAGAAAGAGCGCCTGAAGTTCTGGTTTCCTGAAAGAGCGCTTCAGTGTGCATACTGGAGAGCCATGGTCTGTGCAGCTGATCTCCGGCGGGGAAAGGAGGCCAGCCATGCAGAGGTGCCACTATTAGATTACACACCCGAAGATGCTGGCCCTTAACAGTTGTCGCCCTAACAGGGAAATCCTCTGGCATATTCCTAAGCCCTAGCCCTGTCACTTAAAGCAGAATTCTGTATATCACAATTCTTGTATAACCAAAGTAATTTGTACTTTAATTAGTTCTTCATAAGATTTGACCTATATCCAATCTTTACCAGAAATCCAAAGTAACCCTCCCAAGGGGGAAATAACAGTAACTCACCAGAGGTAATAATACTCACTGAGGGACAGTGAGTAAACGAGTGCACGAGTGCAGATAAATCCTAATAAGTGAGTTTCTATAGCTTTTATCTTATAAAAATACTCTTTCACGATTTTGTTTTCCTTTTTTAAGTTTATGATTAACAGAAAAGTAATTGAGCTTTTGTTTACTGTGATAATTGGGGAATCTCATAGATGAAAGAAAACACACGATTAGAGGCTACCATGAATATCTAATGATAAAACTGTGACAGTAATTGAGTTCCATTCTTTTGAATTATAAGACTATTCATTAAAAAAGTTGGCAGTGATTACTTTTGTGGTATCAACATCAATGCTGTGATACATGGTGTTACGGTAGTTCAAAGTATAGGAGGTCTAACCCTTTGTATTGTTCTTTTTTCCCTATATCTACGGTCATGATGCCTGAGAACAGGAATATAAATTGTCAGTTGTCATTTAAAAAAAATTAAACATTTCTGATCCCTTAAGTAAGATTCCTGATTGTTAGTTTTTGTTTTAACTGCTGTTTGTAGAAAATGACCTTCACTCCCTTTCTAAACCTGTGCATCGGTGTCACAAAAGAAAACAACATGTAGTTTATTCAGCCTCTTGTTCATGTGTCTTGTTCTTGTTCAAAGAAATTGGGCAGCCAAACCACTGTAACCATTAAATTAGTCTGAAGGATGGACTAGATTGCCTTTGTTCTAATTAACAGTCAGTATAGGTGCTTTGTATCTGTCAGGGTAATCTGAACTCACTGCAGATGCCTCGTGGGTTGTGACCATCCATCTCAGCCTCGAGGTGCACTTGGAACGAGTGGCTGTGTGTGCTGTGCTTGCCCAGTGCTGGTCTTACCAAGGAGTGAACTGAGTGAACTTGAGGGAGAGCTCGAGAAGCTAAAGGCGGGGGGAAAGCTTTCAAGTAGAAAGTTAAGCCCCGAATAATTGAATCGTCACTATTGGAATAGATCATTGTGTTTATAGTACACAAACACCTGAGTTTAGGGGCATTTGGCTGCTTTTTGGCAATTGTGTATAAAAGGGAAAATAATAAAATGATTGACTTTTAGTGGATTATTAATTGTACTAATCTGTGTAATAAAATACATTGTTAATGAAAATGTTATCTTTTAATTCTAAGATAAGGCCAACAAGGTAAGGTTCCTTAAAACTAACTCAGTTAATTAAGAGAAATCATTTCCTGTGCTTTCCCTGAAATACTTAAATTTTTAGAATTCTTTTTTGTCTGACTTGCAGAACTTTAATTTGGAAGGAATTCGTTTTAATTCTAAGAGAGATTTAAAGTTATCTTTAATTAATCTCCAAAAGTTACCTTTCTCTCCTAAATGTAATAGTATTGGCAAGTACTAGAAAATAAGGTGTGTTTGAATTATGTTAAACTATTAAACTATGGCACAAGTAAATCACAGTTATCTGTGAAATGAAAAGAGTTATATACCTCTTTTTTCCTGGATACTATGAAGCTAAAGACTGTGAACGGACTTGCCAGATTAGTTATGTAGAGAGACTTTTAATCCACTTGTGCATTTTCTTCTGCCTTTTGTGACAGGAATTATCATCTCTACTTTACAGATAGAAAAATTGGGGCACAGAAAATTAGTCAGTTGCCCAGATACACAGCTAGTAAGAAGGAGGGTTGATGAACCCCAGAGTTTGACTGTTGAATTGCTCACTCCTAACCGAGGAACGTGCTGTTTCACAGAAGGTGGAATGGTAGTTCTGAGAGACTTTGCTAAATATATTCAGGGGCAGCTAGGTCCTGGACTCCTCTTGAGTCACAGGAACAGAGAAGAAGAATTTCCTCCCTTTATTTTAGCTGGAAAATATTTTTCCAGGTAAATACTAAGATATGGTATCAGCTAGAAAACAATTTTAGATTTTTAGCAAGAAAAAGTGAAGAATTGCACGTCTAGGCTTTTCTCTAAATTTGAGTTGGTGTTTGAACTGAATACTGAATTTTAACTCCAGTGATTTTGCTTTAATGACATGTGAGCCTTAGGATACTATTTTTAAAATTGAGATACAATTTTATCTCAATTTTAAATTGGTATAGGAATACATTTTTTTTGTGAAGCCATTTTAGATGAATCATGTTAACGTCTAAGTCAGGTTTGTTTTTCTCTTCGGTGAGCAAGAAATAGTTTATCTGTTTCTGTCTTCCTATCAGATATTGAACAACATCCCCTCACCTTGGACAGTTATTTGGAGGAATTAAAAACTAGCTAATTTAACCTATTTCTTTTCTCTTAAGGGCTGTCCTTTTTGGTTTGAATTTTATCTTTACTAGTAGTGGGAGTAATGCTTTTTTTTTTTTTTGCTTTTCAGTTTTAATATCTTTAAGTTACACTAGAGGTTTCTATGTAAATATGTTTTCTGGGATATAGGTATGTATCTTATGAAAAGTGATGCTACCTGAATACATAAAAGCAGCACTTTTTTAGAATACCAAGACTCCGATTTTTTTAAGTATCTTTAACTTACCAAGATTTTGATTTTCAGGTCACTGTGAAGTAAGTAGAGTGAGAATATAGGGAGATAAAACCTTTTTCTTGTCTCTACTTCAGGGGTAAAAATTGATGTCATAATCTTAAAATCCCAAGTATCGTCTTAGTGAGAGTGCAGATACAGGACAAAAAAATAACAGAACCAAGGGAATCCATGTATCATTCAAATTGGGATTCTCTAAGTCCATTTGTTTTAACTGATAAGAATTAGCTGAATGTTAGGTGTTTTTTTTTAATAGAGTGAATTTAAATGACAATAGGGATATATAGCATAATTTTTTTAAAAAGTAGCTTGACTCTTAGGTTTTTCTCATTCTCATCTTTAATCTGTTGGAGGGCAGTAGATATATCCTGAGATAGGAATGTTTTGGCAAATTCTGTTTTGGGTAAAATTGTTAAGGCTGTGTGTTTAAAACCCTATAACAAATTAACTCTGAAATTAATTCTAAAAAATAACCATTTAAAATGAAGGAACAGTCCTTTCAAAAATTTGTCTGATTTTTAGTGTATGTTTTAGGAAACTTTGCTTGAAGTTTATGTCCTTGAAACGTTTGTAATATATTGCAGCAGCTCACAGCACCAGAAGCAAGCAATTTCATATTAAAACTGAATGTTAAATAGTGAGGATACATAAACACACATTTTTTCTACAGGTGGGGATTTCCTTTTTTGGCCTGTTGAAAACAGAATGAAGTTACAGATAATATTTCAGTTAGGAAGGAACTTAAAACATGTTTATGTGTTCCAACTATACCTTTCAAGGAAAACTGAGATACAGAAAGGATACGCTCTCTCCCCCTTAACACAGAAGAGTGACCACCTGCACTTTCTTTCCTTGCATATTTAGAAAATGGTTTGAATTAGCCCACTGAATTCATTTGGAATCTTAATGGTGTCACTGGCATCAGCAGACCTGTAATGCTCTTCAATTATTGGGCACTTGAAAGCACAGAATTTTACATTAGATATGCTCTCATAGACTTGACCAGGATCATCTCTTGTATTTAATCCAGATTCTGCAACTGACTTAACATGGACTTCGTTATAATGGATTCCAGGAATGGAGTGTATACAGGAATGACATTAATTTATTGAGGCTCATTTAAATTAAAAGCACCAGTGAATGGGGAGATGGAGGCCACAGGAAACTGGGACTTGAAAGAAAATAAAATACGCTGTTGATCTGCTTTTCCCAATTAAGAAAATGCATATAGCTTTCAGTAATCAATATACACAGATACTGTGGTTCTCTTTTTATTAAGCACAGAGACTCAAGTAATTCATAATTCTGCCTAGGGGGTTTTATAAAGATTTTTAGCAGAAATAGTCTATAGGGTTGTTTTGTTTCTACCATGGATATAAATGGGTTGTCTTTTAAAGTGACTTCACACCCTGGGAAAATAAAGTTAAGAGTAGGCCTCGCTGAGGGGCCAGGAATGCTTTACCTCTTGTGTATAATCTGAGCCCTGCGGACTAAGAAAATGAACTTTTTGAACTTCATGACTTGGCATACATACTCCTTTCTGCCAAAGACAGTGAAGTGTCCCTCTGCCTTTTCTCTTTCTGCTCCACCTTCTATAAGGTCGCCTGAAAGGTCTTCCTAGTATTTCCCCTTTCCTCTCATCTCTGCAGAGCCTTCTTTCACAGACTGCTCATGGCTGTCTCCCCTCCACACTCATCTTCCTTGTGCGGAGTCGCCTTCGGCCTAGTGTGCTTCCTTTCTCCCCGTACCACCAGCTGTCGGTTACTGGTTACCTTCAGCTGCTGCCGGTGCTCTCCCGCCTGCCCCCCTTTCCTCTCTGACATCCTCCTCGACTCCCCTGAAACCTTTCTCAAGGCTCAGCAGTGCTCTTTCGCAGCAGCCACAGACTGAGCACAATTGCCATGCGTTGTCCTGGATGCTTGGAGTCAACTGGACATCTTCACTCCCTCCCTCCCATCTCCCTTCGGTGCGGGACATGTACACACCTCGTTTACATTTCCGTGGTCCTCCTGGGCCTGCTTTCCTGCATGATGTGTTAGAAAACTTCCCAAGGGTCCTCTCTCTGCTCAGTCTCCCCAGGCCTCTCCAATCCCACACAGATCCCCAGCATCCTCACTCTTAAGTACAGATCTGAGCATGTCTTCTATGCTCAGAAACTGTTCCTGCAGATTTTGGGGTGCTTGATAATCTAGCCAGAACCTCTTAGGTTTATTTAGTCTCAGTGAAACTCAGCCACACCACACTAAAAGCTTTTCCTCCCAAAGCATTTCCTTTTGATTTTGCTCTGACTGTTCTCCCACTTTTGTCATACCCTGCTTTTTAAAACTCTGCCTCATCCTTCTAGGCCCATTCAGACACTGTTCATTTTAAGGAGCCTCTCCTAGTTCTGTCCGCACCTGCTGCTAGGGTCTTATCACTGCAGTAGCTGTGTGTGATCGTTGTCAATGGCTGAACTGCTACCGCGTTCTTAAGCTTGGTAAATTCTTGGTGAATGATTATGGAGCCTAGTGAAATGCCACCTTGTACACTGCAGGCACACAAACATTTGTTTGGACAGTGGTTGGACATCAGAATGGTGGTGTGTACTCGAGCCAGGTTTTCTAGAGGTGGGGCCCTGGCACTTAAATACTCTTAAAAATCACAGGTGATCGCAAAATAGACTGTATCGTGATGGGTCTTGCCTGGGTGATGCAGTTACAAGGACGCACTGGTAGATTTTACTGTTGCCGGAGCTAAGCGAGACCCCTCCCTTTTCACGCAGATCTTCACAGGATTCTTAGGAGTTGCCTTTGTATATTTTGGAGAACTACTGTTAGTTAGAATCTTCATACATTTTAATTTTATTGTGCTTGCACATAGGGATTTGCAAGGGGTTTTATTTGACATTTGTGACCTTACTCTGTTTTGATGTGTAATACAAATTTGTCATGAAAGTACCCTGGTTAGATGTCAGCACTAAGCCTATACTGAAAATTCACAGAAAAGAAAATGAGCTTTGTAACTGTCGTTTTGGATAAATTGTCTAAGGAATCCGAATCATGCGGATAGGATTCCTATTTGGTGGGTCTGTCTCAGTCCCAGGCCTTGGGTAGAAGAATTTGCTGTCTTTGCAGACCTGGAAGCATACAAGGTAGACACTTCTGTGCTCGTCTAGCAGGTGTAACGTTCAAAGTCGTGCCCTGTCATGTAGTGTTCCCCTCCCAGCAGTACTAAAAAGCTCCACTAAAAAGATCCATCTGCCTTCCCCCTCATCCCCACCTTTTTCTTTTTCCTATCTCATGGTTTTTGGTTTTATAAGATAAAACGATTTACTTCTGTGTATATCTTAAAGCACTGATAGAGACTTAAAATTTGATTTTAAGTCCTTACGGTTAAAAGGGAAATATTGGTCTTTCTTCCCTTATCCTATAAAGTAGACCAGTTGATGACTGTCAGTTAGCATTACCACCAATTACAATAACTTTCACATTTTTTGACCCTGCCCCATTTAAGTGTTTCATTTTCCTGAACAGGACGTGGCAAGTACAGTTGTGCATCATGGGAAAAGTTGCACAGAACAATTACCTTTCCCACGTTGCACTGTTTTCTTTTTTATGGTCGTTGATACCCACTGATGGGTTTTACCTTTAGTTTGAAAAACACTGTTTCATCCACAGATTGTGAGATACTCCTGGAAGCTTGCCCGATAGGGAGGAGACTAGTCTGAATGGGCAGCAAATAGGAGCCGAAGCATATTTGAAAGAAATGTTTTGTTTTTACCTGTGAGTCTGGAAGTTAGAAGTAACTGAAGACCTCATGCTGTTCTGTAGTAGCTCCTTTAGGCCTCGACTCATGATAATTTTTTTTTTTGCCTCAAAAGAAACTTTTTCTATAGAAGCTATAGAAGATAAAGATATTTTAAAATATAGAAGGGCCAGATTCTAAGTATTTGGGCATATGTATCCTTCCAGACTGTTTTTGGTGTGCATGGACGTATACATTAAAGGAAAACATTAAAAAAATCAGCTGACATATACATACTGTCTGTAACCTGTACAAGAAAAGGTGTTAAGACTCACTCTGTCTTGGTATGTGTACATCTCTATCTTTCTCAATAGAATTTGTTAGTAGCTCAATAGAATTTGTTATAATTCACATATTGTACTTTCACCAATTTCTCTATTGTTAGACATTTAGGTTGTTTCCAATTTTTAGCCATCATAAACCAGGCCACACTAAACATTTGTATACATGTCTTTATAATAGTTGATATAAACCATGTTTATACAAGTTTTAAAAACTGACCAGAAATCATAGGATTATTTTTCCCCCCACCTTTTTTACAGTATTGTACAGAAATCTTTTTTAACCTGTTGAAAGGCCTTTCACCTTTTCTCAGACAAGTGTCACCTTTGCTATTACAGTATTTACAGTGTGAAATAAATGTAGTTTGAGAAGGAAGCTTGACTTACTAGAAACTGATTCTAGTTCTTGCCTTAATTTTTAGACAGTACCTGTAATGAGAAATAGTAAAGAAAACAGACTAAGAGGAAAAAAAGTGTTCTGTGCGGGGATTTCTTATCTAGTTTAGTAACCTATTTGTTTAATACCCAAGACCTTACCATGTGTACTTAGCCATGTGTGTCCCACAGTTCTAGGTTGTTACATTCTTGGTTAGGAGAGGCTTTTATGTAATAGTTTTTGTTTGAACTGGCTTTGTCTTCTCAAGTCTTTAATTTACATGCTGGTGCTGGTGACCCTGCCATTGCATTCAGCCCATTAACATGCTTTCAGTTGTTTTTTGGTAGAAAGATAGGTTATTTCCTGCTATTTATGGGCAGTGGGGTATGTGACCTGTTAAAGTAGCTCCAAATGACCTATGAACCATGATTCTCGGCTTAAGTCTTACTAATAATGGTATCTTTTGTGAATTGCTTCATTTGCCATTTCAGATACTTTATGTACATGTTATGAAGTATAACTTCTTAATCAAAATGGATAAGCTAGTATTTTAAAAATCACTTTTAAACCTTCTGAAGGTATTTATACATTCATTTTTATAATGAAAATACATAATTACCACATTGCAAAGAAGTTACAGGAAAGGATAGGAAAAAGAAAGGAACTATTTAATCCCTCCACTCTGACGTGACTACTATGGTCAGTTTCTTTCCAGTCTTTTTTCTTTGTGTAGATTTTATGTAGTTCTAAGAAGGCATTTCAAAACCAAATTTTTTGTGTAAGGGACTGTAAATTGCATGCTTCAAAGGGCTAAACTGGAAAATTACGTACCAGGTCACTAATTATTAGAATTCTAACTTTCTCACGCATTAATGCTGTCCACTACAGTATTGAGCTGTAAATAGAGAAGGTTACTGCTAATGAAGTTTTTTGGGCTATTATTTATTAGAAATTTAGTTAAAATTGTAAAATACCTTATTCTGAAATGGTTCCTTCCCATTGCCTTCCCTTTTGAGACTCCTAGCAGTGGAAGGTGATTTCTTAGTGATTAAAGTGATAGGGATCTCAGTGGCTTCTCGAAGATGACTAAGGCACAAAGTTATGTTAGTTACATTAAAAAAAATTAAGCTTGCCGTGTGCACAGGTGTATACATGCACGTATCAAACTGCAAACATGCTGTCTTTATCAGTAGGAGACTGAGAACTTTCAGGATATTGTGTGTTGCACTGAGAGAATACCATTTCATGTCCATGAGATTATAACCATGAAATTGTCACAGGTTTTTTTTATTGTGCCCAGAAACCATTTTGTTTGTTATGAGAAGACCTTTTTAATACCTTGTACTAATGACCGATACTTTCCTTTGGAAGCTGAGAACTTCCTCCTTTTGTTATTGGAAATTACTGGAATGATTGGTAAGAGCAGGTAGAAAAGATGTGTAAAGGAGTTGAGATGTGGTTCATGGGGAGGCCTCTGCTGGAATTTGGACCCTGCCACTTCCTAGGGACGTGTGATGGGGATAACAGTCCTTGGCCTCACAGGGCAGTTGTGAGGATTGAATGAAGTGTATCTCAGGTGAATGTACCTGGTGGAGCGTAAAAGCCCAGTATGTTTTGATGCGGTACTCCTCAAACTGAATGAAAGACTCTTTAAGTAGGCTAGTGTAAATCAAACCACAGTTAAGTTTTTAAGAAACACAACAGCCTGATCATGATGCGTTCTTCCCTTCCAGTCATCCAGCAGTGACAGTGGTGGGAGCAGCAGTGGCGTCTACAGCCCGGACAGGACCAGCGGGCCAGAGAGCAGCTTATCCCACATCGCCACCTGGTCTGGCCCTAACACCCCTCAGCCCAGGCCCGAGCAGTCTGCACTGTGCCAGGGCCCTTACTTCCACATCAACCAGACCCTGAAGGAGGCCCACTTCCATAGCCTACAGCACCGAGGACGGCCTCCCACATGATGTGCCCGCAGTTTCTTGCCTTCTGTGAAGGGACAGCGCTGTGCAGATTTGATATTTCAACTTAAGATGTTTTAAAAAATTGCACAAAAAAATGCCTGTTGGCTTTTCCGTCTATATTTGAAATAACAGGTTAACAGGCGGTTGTTTACTTGTGGTTTTGCTGCACTATTGCAATTTCAAAGGGGCTTTGAAGCAATTTTTTATAGGATTCTTTTGAGGGTGGGTATCAAATCCATGTTGAGGTAATGGTATGAGGAAATCTCATCTGTGTGTTGAATCCATAGTTTGTCCAGTTCAGATTGATTTCCAGATATGTCAATTAGAAATTCTACTTCATGTAAAAAGGCCTTTTAGAAAGTGCGGGGTCTTCAATTTTTTAAATTCAATAAACCAGTAAAGAGTGTCTAGTTTCCATGAAAAAAACGTAAGTTTTTTTCCAAAATATAGAAAGCTTGCTTCAGTCTTGCACTGAAATTCGTTACCATACTACCTCTTGTATGCAGATGTCCTGTCGAAAGTCCTCTGTCTTTGTGAAAGACATCAGAGCCAAGTTGGACTGGTAAGTGAAGCAGCCACCCTCCTGTTTCCACTTTGTCATGTATTTGTATGTCTGGAGAGAATGGCTTTCAGATCCTTCTATTCCCAGATAACTTGTTACCATTACTCTTCTAGCACCTACGTCTTAGGCACTAGTAGAAAATATGGCTCAGTTCTGGCAGTTGAGAAATTCGGAATGACTGTTTGTCTTATAGACTCGTTACAGCAGCAGCTTATGTGATTTCATTGGTAATTCCAACCTGTAGTGTCAAGAACGAGGCCATTGACAAATGGTGGCCAAGTGTGAACTATTGGAACTGATGTCTGTGTCACAAGTATTGTGAAACTCTCGGACAAGGATTCACTTTATGCTTAAAGTAACCCCTGACAGTACCTGGGGCCCACATCCCACCACTGAACTGGAAAGACTGGTGTGACTTAGCAATGAATGAGCACAGGCACAGTTAGAAGAAATGTTGCAGTCGTATTTATTTAGGGGGAGATGGGTATGTTCCCATGTTATTTAGTCATACTAGAGAGCCAACCTAGTTTGAATAACGAAGGTGTAGACGTGTCTTCTTCCTCACCAACAAGGTGTCTGAATAAGGAGCCAGGATGCGTCAGGTCATCTGTTCGGGAGAGTGCCGGGGGGACAACCTGCCATTGCATGTAGAGAAAGTGCCTTAGAGTCTACCCGACCCCTCCTGCCTGCTCACACCCTCCACTCCACTCCACTCGGAGCCCACACAGCACACGCAAGCAGAAGCAGCACGGGTAGCTGTAGTAAGGGGACTTGGTTCTTTGTCAAGATTTGAAAAGGACACGGGATGGAATGAGCTTTTTATTAAAGGTAAGGACTCTAGGAAAAGGGTAAACATGTACCTCCTTTCCTTGGTTTGTTCCTCTGGAGAGAGAACTTAAAGGTCAGTTACTTGGAGTAGAAACTGCAAGTTGTGGGGAAGTGTTATTAATAGCACAGGCCCACGCTTATGGAGTGGATGGTTTGTGCAAGAACTTTTTTAACAACTACCTTCTCCCAAGTTTGAAAACCAGATGTTGGATTTAGGATCTTAATGGGTTTGATAGCAGGGAATATGGAAAAGCCAGTATTGTGTCTAAAAGTAAAGCAAACAACAGCCAAGTGCTGTAAGAAGACGAGCTGCTGGAGCTCTCCAGACACACGTGCACAAAGCCCCACTCAGAAATACCAGGAGGACTCCTGCGGGCCTAATGGATGGCAGCCCACTGAAACAAAAGGCGTATTAACCAGCAAATGGACAACTTGAGAAAGCACACTTCATTTCCCACCCAACTGAAAGAAATGGAAGACGAAACAGTCACCAAAACAAAAGTTCTCTGAGTACAGTCACAGTGTGGGACTAGCAATTAACCCTTTTATCCCACTGCAAATGACAAGGAGTCTCTAGCCTGTCCTGTGTGTCTTCTACAGCCTTGGCAGCCTGAGATACATTTCTTTTATGAGGCTACTTGACAGTGTAAATGGGCTTCTTCTAAAACTTCTATTAGCTCAAGCTAGTAAAACCTTGTACTTCAACATTGCGCCGCCATTAAAAGCAGCATTAGTGCATTTTGTCATTTGAGTTCTTTATGGATTGTTTAAAGGGGAGCTAATTGGGTGGTTTGGTGGGAGCTGGGGACAGGGTCAACAGGGATGGGTTCCTTGCTCTCTGCACTAACCTGAGCTTTTGTTTCGATGCTTCTGCTGGTTGCTTCGGCCTTTCGAGTGCTTGTCATGCTCAGTGGAAGAAGTCCGAACCTCCAAGACAAGGCGCAAGAATTTCAGTAGCACGAACAGGACGCTGGGTCTGGCAAAAACCTCCCGGAATCATTACCTGATCTGCGTCGTTGCCAGGGGCAGGATGTTATGGGGTTCTTGAGAGTTGAAGGTGCTGCTCCGGGGTGTGAACTGGTTCGCTGTGTCAGTGACCAGTCCAAACAGAACCTGACAGATGAGAAACAGCACAGTGACAGGCTGGGGCTTTCGTGGCCGGTTAGAGAATCACTTGTTGGTAATCCGTCTCTGTTTTGAGTGTGAATGCTTCAAAATTACTTGTATCACTGCCCATGGATCAGAATCTCAGTCATGTAGCTCTTCTGTTCACTTTGTGAGACTTTGATAAAACCCTAATAATCCTTACCTACAACTACAGGTCAGATCATGGTTGCCTCAGAGGAGAGATTTTAGCTAATCCCCTTTCAGCCTTTAGGACCAAACAGCTGTGTCTTACCCCCCCCAACACTGCCTCCTGGAGTAGTAAGTGCGGAGCGAGTTTATTTTGTAATTTGAGCCTGTGGCTCCTCATGCCCACAGAGCATGTTTTTCACTTGACTTACAGAAGTTCGCTGCACCAGGCGATTAAGGTTGCTGTTGAGGTGTGGTGTAAAAACGTCCAGGTCAAACGGGTCGATGAGTGCCTCGAAGTAGTCGGCCACTTTCTCAATTCTGAAAAAAGGATTACAATGATAAGAAGAACCAATCTTACAGTATTTTAATGCTGAAGAAATCCTGGAACTGGCTTTATTCTCCTTAATTGCTGACTTAGTACCCTTGTCACTATGAGAGTGCTTACGTAATCCTCAAGGGTTGTAACCTGATGTGAATCTAAGTCCAGCCCATCCCTTCCCCATGTCGTTTTCAGGGAGGCCCAAATTGTACCCAACAGTTGGTGGGCCCCCACAGAAGGAAGGAATGAGATTCCACCTACCACACTTGGCCACGGGGTTTATCTAGCGGGTGGCCATTATTTATCTTGGTGGTAATATGAGCACTAACTGTTTAAAACAAACACAACTAATGTGCTGTGCAATAAGAGGCTGAATCTTGGGTGGCTTTCCCAGGAGAGGGGCCGTGTGCATTTGGGAGAGACTGCGCTGGGAAAGCCCCAGGAGGAATGGGTACCTGGAGTCCTGTTTGCCGCGGCCACTCTTCCCCTCCTCGCCCTTGGCTGTCAGAACCATGGTGAGATACCGCAGATCATAAAGCAGCTGCAGTGCCCGGTTCTGCGTCATTGGAAATGTACCTTCTTTCTGCAAGTCAATTTCCCACCCCCACCCATTAAGGGAGATGACTTATTATGTGAACATAATAAACAGCTTCATGTTTAGTTGAGTTACAGTTTGTTATTTCAGAAGCAGAAGCTGTTTTTAATACTTGTAAGGCCAGTTTAATCTCATAACAACAAAAACAGCTCATGTTAGAAACTTGGTCTAAACAAAACTAAAAACAGGAGAGGCCCAGTCCTTAAAAAGAAAGCCTCAGTTGCTATAGATGGTTGTTTTAATGAAAAAAGCCTCCTTTCTTGAAGGAAAGAGACTTATCTGGATACTTCCTTAATCGGAAGTTAGTCCTGTTTCTAAAATGTTACTAAAGAAGTGGGAATGGACTCCACGGGCAGGATGCTTCCTAGGAGGAGAGAGGGAAGCAAAGGGCTGGGAGCTTGAGAAGCCCTTGAATGTAAGTACTTCTGAGGGCCACAGGCTGTGCTTTGCAACCGCTGCAACTTCCTCACAGTCCCCCAAGCAGTTTATCTGCATGACCACACTGGATCCTGAGGCGAGAGGGGTTGACTTGCCTGATGCCAATGGCAGGGCTGGAGCTGGGAAACAGGTCTTTTTTTACTTTGAAGCTCTCATTCTACTTGTACTGAACCACCTTTGTAGTGAAGACTTGCTTGACCCTTGAGAGTGGGTATAATTAAACTTGCAGAGCTGGAAGCCACTGCTAAGTAGATGGTCTGGGCTGAGGTAACCCTGACCCTTGTAATCCTTGATGTGAACTGACCAAACTCAAGAAAAAGCTAAGGTGTTTATTTCTGTTTTTAATGAAAAAAAAACAAAAACAAAAAAACACCTACCTTCACCTGTTTTCCTTCTGCAAGTTTCTCGTAGGCGGCTACTACTTGAGCTACACAGCTTTTCAGCATCTCCTGCAGCGTCACCTCTGGCAAGGCATGGCCTCCCACCCGATTAATTTCCTGGCATAAGCTGAACAGGAAGGACTGTACATACCAGGACGGCTGAAAGAACAAAGGCACGCGGAGTTGCCAACTTGCACCGATTAAGTGAGACGAGGTAAAAGCGAGTCCAGTTACCCTGCCTAGGCTTATGTGCCAGGACCTTGACCTCTCACAGCAGACAGTTAACAGGTACAAGTGACATCTGCAGTCATTCACTTGGTGGCCTGGGGTTGACCTGGTAGGCAGCACTGTCTTTTAGGTTGCTCTTTTTACTTTAGGGTAGGTGGTTCTCTCATGACCCCAGAGGCCCCCCTACAAGAGGGAAGAACGACTGACTGACTTCTTGGACAGTCTGCTGTTGACTTGGTCCTGTGTCTGCTTCGCCACTCCTCTTGCCCCAGAATAGTACTTCAGTACTATGTACGAGTACTGAAGTAAGCAGTACTTTCAGCTCTTCCTCAGAAGCTGCACGTTGATTTTCTAGAGGCTTTCTCCTCTCCAAGAGCAGGTTTTCCCTTTTCAGCTCACAGCCCTCTGACCATAGCACTTGTTTACCTGTATAGGGAGTCGGATCTTGGATGTGACGCTGCTTCCTGACTCAGCTTCCTCCTGAATTTCTAGTTCCTCCCAGCTGGTGGCCATGGCCAGGACTGAGCCAGCATCATCTGCAAGTAATGACTGGGTGAATCCATGAGCCAGAACCTGGTAATAAAAGGCAGATATCCAGATAGGCCACTAAGCTCTTTTGCAGAATTTATTTCAAGCTACCAGTGATCCTGAGACAGCTTCTGCCACTTAGGTCATGTACGGGATACCAAGTGGCACCACCACTCTTCTTCTGGCTAACTACTGATATCAGCAATAGGAATTTTGTTGCTAACTCTACCCTCCAGATGTCAGGGGTCACCCGTTAAGATGCCAGTGGAGACTACAGAAAATATGATACTTAGAGTGAAGAGTAGGAAATAATAGGCCCTTGCCCAGGGAGAAAGTCATTCCTATCAGCTGGGAGGAAAAATACCCAGGGTTTCTGTCTATAAAATCTTGGCTAAAATGAATGGAAAAGTTTTTACATTTGAACAGTCGGACAGAGACCAGTGAAAATACCTGTATAAATAAGAATTGTTATTCCCTTCCTATTGAGAGAACCTACTGAGGCTGGCTGCCCAGAATATGGTAAAAGGGAAGCAAAATGGGGATTGGCTGGTGGCATGGGAAGCATAGGCTTACGTCACTCACGTTTACAACTGCCGTGCTCCAGACCCGGTAGCCCATTATGCTCTGCTGGAGGAGCAGGGCCTTAACTTCCTGCCACTTGGCCTGCACAGGAATTACTTCCTGAGGTTTCCCCTTGCCCTGCTTTTTCAGAGCCCTAGACTCCCTTGCTGGTTTCTCAGAGCTCCCTGCTTTTCCCAGGATGCACTGCTTCAGGTGGGGACACAGTTCTCCCAGTGACTGGCAGAGTCTGGCCATGAAAAGGACAGCACGCAGCTTGACACCGCTGAGGACATCCTGCTGCCCCTGCACCACTTGTTCAATGCTTTGCAGCTCGGCCTGGATGCAGTCTATGATGTGCCTGATGCATGCCACCGAGTGGGTCTGCAGCATCTCCTGCACGGTCCCGGCATCTGCGTACCGGTCAAAGGCACAGTTCTTGGCTTGCATGGGGGACATGCCCTTGGGCAGTGTTGTATCACTGGAGGGAAGGTAAGCCAGGAGATCATTCAATTTAACCTTCAGTTTGGAGTCTAGGGCAGAACAGAAGTTCTGCACACAAGGGCTGATAGCTTGTGCTTTCATGGAGAGCCCGCTGCTGGCAAACTGGTCCCGGTTTGCCACGCTGACCCAGGCAGCATCAGGAGGCAGGTCGCTCGGACTCTCAGACCAGAGAAAGAGGGACATATTGTGCTCAAAGTGGATGTGCTTGTTTGAAGTGGTGTGACTGGTGCTGCTTTCAAGCTCCTGCAAAGCCGAAGTGAGGAGCTCTTTGGAACTCGTGGAAATGGTGTCAAAGCCTTCTTTGGTCAGGGTCTAGGAGAAAATAAAAGAGGAGTTTGGATCACCGCTCCTTTCAGGAAATCTCAAAACGAGGACCAAGTGGCAATCCCTCCCAGCATTCAAAACATCCTCCGCCACGCTCGGGAAGTTGGCATGGTGTCGGCAGAGATCAAAGTCATTGCTGATGGACACGGACACGTTTCTGACCATATGACTGGCCAGGTCTCTTTTTTAGCAGAGTCTCTGTTCACTTCTGTGGTTCACTGCCCAGAAGAGCCAACCCTGGGGTGAGTCAGCAGGGAAAGAATATACTTAGGAAGTGACAGGGGTCGGTCTACCCAGACGGTCAAACGATGCCGTGAGGAGTGGCTGTAAGACAGCTGGAGCGTGTGACTTCCCACCTTACCTGTAATCGGTCCAGGAACAGTTGCTGCATCAAATCTTCCCAGAATGAGAGTGGATCCTCCAGAAGCCGCTGACATATCACATCCCAGCTGTGACTGGTGGGCTCATTGGTGAGTAATTCCCACACGCCATCCCGGATGCCTGCAAGACCTTTCATGCTCTTCACATACATGAGCAGGTTGCTGACCCCATTTCTAATGTCTTCATTGCACCTGCAACAAAATCGTTTTTTGGGAGCTTCATTACATTCATGGGTTTCACACCTTTACTATGAAAAAGCAGGACTCTATTTGAAAACCTCTTACCTGGGTCCCAGTATTTATATATATATGTATTTCAGTGTGTTTATAAAAATACATAAACACAGCATTACTGGCTGGACTGGGGCGTGGAGCCTGTAGCCCTTTCACCAGGCCTATCCTTGCTTGCCTGAGGTATCTATCTAGAAGTCTAAAGCCCCAGAGAAGGGCTTTAAAGACCACTGCACTACATAAAAGCTTAGAAGTGGCAGAACTCTTACATAAAGAGAATTTAAAATCCTCTACATGACGTTTTGAAAGATAAATTCCTTCTTGGTTCTCCCACACAACTGGGGGCTAGCTAACCCACCATGAAGGCAGTGGAAGGGGCTGAGTGACTGGCTGGCAGCACCCCCCACCCGCCCACCCATTCCTCTCTGGCCCTTGTGTGGCCACATACAAGGCTGCATGGCTGCTGCCTGCCTGCTCAGGCAAGTTCTGCCACTCACATGTGAATCCATTTCTGCAGTGTATCTTTCAGGTATTCCTGGCTGATGGGATGTGCAAGGGTTCGCAGAGCTGGCTGGAACTCGACGATGGATGCTGGCAGGTGTCTGAACCAGCAGCAGCGCTTCATCTCCTCTTGCAGGACACCAATGCCCCTTCCTAAAGAGAAGGCCAGTGAGAAGTAATTGAAAGCGTATTAAAAACGGACCTAGAAGGAATTTCCAAAAATCATCTAGCATTCCTTTGGGCTTTCCCCCTAAAACAGCGAACAGCGGGGGAAAGAAGGCACAGAATATGTCCCTCATCAGGGAGCTGGCAGTGTCCCTCCAGCTCTGGTCATCCTGTTGGCTGAGAAGAAGGCAAAGGACAGCAAGGAAAGCAATGGGGGAAGGAGAGAGAGGAGATCTGAGTGCTGGGAGGCCCTGGACTCTGTAAAGGAGGGCAGGGCTTCAGTTGCTGGAAGATGAAAGGTGACGGGTTCCCTCTCCTCACCACTCTCCACCCCTGTCGAGGAGCAAAGGGAAGCACCAGTGAGCACTCGTCCAGATCAGCTGAGCCGTAGCTTTTGGCAGGGGGCTCTCAGGGAGGGCCCAGGCCTGGGGTGTGACTCAGGGGCCCAGTCACTGTGTTCTCTGCACGAGCGAGCACCCTCTGGAGTCTGAAACACAGGGGCCGTCTGGGGTCTCTTGTACTTGTATTTTAAGGCCATGACCGATTAGCCAATACTCACTTTTCAGGAGTGGGAAAAAGTATGAAATGCAAGCACCTCTGGGAAACCAGGGGATAAGGAACTGGTGCCCTACCTGGCAGATAAGCCAAAGTGCCACATCTCTGAGAATGACCACATGGCTGTCACTGCGTTCTACTGGTTTCCAGGTTCCTTTGGCTGCGTCTCTGTCTGACCTGCGTCCTGGAGTTCCCTGAGGCAGTCAGTCCTCTGTCTTCCTCTCTTACTGATGACCTTCCCATCCCTGTGGCTTCAAACAACAGCCATACACAGAGGACCACAGACACATGTGTTCAGCCTGGCCTCTCACCGCTGTTCCAACCTACAGTCACCTGCCCACTCCACATTTCCATTCCAAGGTCTCAGTTGTCTCCAACAGAGTATTTTCAAGAGTAAACACATCACCAGCCCTTTCAAGCCATCTCCTTTTCTAGTAAATCTGGACACCTCCCTTCCATAGCCTCACCAGCCAATCTACCACCAAATGGTCCCCTGAACAGGAGTCTGAGTCCACAGAGCTCTGCATTATCTGGTCATGTCTTGTAGACTGGCCCCGTCTCTTGTTACGCTGCTCTTCCCTCACCCAATACCCCTTAGCCTCACCTTGCTTTCTTTCAGTTCCTCAAATAGATGAACATCATCCTAGCCATCAGGACCTTTGCACATCGTCTTCCCTTTGCCTGGAGCTCTCTTCTGTGCCTCATTCATCTAACTAACTTTTATTCAAGTTTCAGTTTAAATATCACTTCTCCAGGGAAAGTAACATAAGTGAGGTCCCTTCTTTCAATGCTCTCAAGTCAACTTGCACTTGGCCTTTATAGCAATGACCAGTATTGATATTAAACAGATATATGTGTATTGTGAGTTCATAATCTGCCTCTACCACTAGACTATGATCTCCACGATGGTGGGGGTCCATATTTGTCCAGTTCACTGCTATATCCCCAGGGCCTAGCACAGTAGCTGGCAGATGGTGGATGCTCAGTTAACCACTAGTTGAGCGAATCAGAAAATAAAAGAGGTTGGCTAAGAGCTCACCGCTAGTTTGCTGGCCTGTGATGGTCTCCAGTGTTGAGAAGAGCAAACCACACGGCAGGGACGGATCTGGCAGCTGACCTTCTGGTAAAGTGTAGAAAAGAGCATGAGCTTGGTTCAAAGTGGTGGCCAGCAACTCCACTAATGAGCAAATCTGAGCCTTGATGCCAGCACCTACAGGAAGAAACCATCCTCTTTTAAACGACTTAGAATAGTTAGAATGGAGTCCAGATGCTTCAGTCTCCCTCAGCTCATCCTCTTCCACTTCCATGTTTAAGGATCAAATTATGGACAGAGGCCACACCCACCATGGTGCGGCTGGTTGAGAAGCTTCTGAATAGCTGCCTTTCTGGCCAACAGGAAGTCTGTCAGGGCTTGGCGAGGAGAACTCTCTTCTAAGAGCATTATAGCGCACAGGGCCTCGGCTACAGCTTGGTCAGACACGGCTTGGCATTTGAGCAACATCTTGCTTTCATGCAGAATGGCTGATCTAGAAAGATGACAAAAGTCAATGGAGAATTTATTTTACATCTTGGAAGAAGAACCCTGATACATCAGGAAAGAAGACACTGTAACTGCAGTGGTGGAGCGTGGCCACTACCAGCTCTTTATACTGGATGCACTTACCGGAAGTGGCTGGCCGCAGCCACCTGCCGGATGAGTATGGGGAACCGGGAGAGGACGGGGCTATATCGGGAGCTGGGAGGATCCAACTGGAGCAGTTTGTGAAGGTGGCAGCCCAGCAAGTAGAGCTGTGTGGCGTGGAGATACTGCGAGGCCTCCATCGAGCTCCAGATCTTCTCAGGAATTTCTAAAAGGAGCTTGATCTGGGCAGCCATGCTATAGAACTTCTCCTGGGATGGCTGCTGCGGCTGCAGGGAAGGGCATAGGATGAGATCAGAACAACAAACAAAAGCAAGGTCAGTGTTGGGCAGGTTTGGAGAGAGATGGGGGTGTGTGTTTTAGGGTACAGAGCTTTTATTAAGCCTGATTCATTGCCACCCAGTGAGGTATCAGAGCTCGTGTGGTCTAATTCCTGCAGTCAGGCATGCCGGACAGTCCCACCGGTTTTTCCTACGAGCTGCGTGCACCTTTGCTCAGTCCCACGGAGAGGCAAACTTACTCCCCGTCACCTCACATCTGGCTATCAGTGATCTTGTGACGTCTTAGGAGCACGGAGCCCTGTGGACCACCACTAAAGGGAGCTTTCTCCTTCCCTTTTCTTATGTTCAGCCTTCTGACGTTTTCTCTGCTTCTTTGAGTGCCCCATGGACTTCTTTGCTGGCTGTTCCTCTTCACCAGCCTTCCACCACATCTTCACCTGGTTCAGTCCTCATGCTTCTACTCAGCTTGGGCTAGCCCCTTACTCCAGGATTCTCTTCCCTCGAACATCACCTCCAGGCAGAACACCACACTACCACACCTTTTAGCCCTCATCACTCCCGAGTCCTAATCGAGCCTTTTCTGCTGCTGCCTGCTAAGTGTCTTTGCCATTCTATAATCAGTGTTTTTAAATTAAGTTTACCTTCTTGCCAAAAATTTTAGTCATCTGACCTCCCTATGTAACTTCGTGTGTACCACCACTCTGCTCCAAATCCCCAGGGAATTCACATCCTTCCGATGGTTCTGCTTATCTCTACTATCTAAGTTTCTGATACCAACCACTTCCATGATTGTAATGCAGGTCATTATAATCAAATTATAATCAAACTTAGATTAATCCAAAATATTTCACATGTGCTGTGTTCATTCTCTACCCCCACCAATCTCTCCTCCTCCTCTGCTGTCAGATTAACCTTCTTCAAAGGCCATTTAGACTGTATCTTTGCTCTTTTCTAAAGGGTTCCTCACAGCTTAGTATCTTAGTCTGGTTGTCAAGGATTTCCTGCCCTTCCACTAATTTCTTGAGTCCACTGGTTCTCATGTGTGGCACAGGAGGGTGATTTCAGCCCCCGACCCCAGCAATATCTGGAGACATTTTTGACTATCAGAAGAGGAGAGGGGGTTGTTACTGGCATCTAGTGGGTAGGGGCCAGGAATGCTTAGAGACACCCTCCAATGCACAGGGCAGCTGCACCAACAAAGAATGACCCAGCCCAAAATGTCAACAGCACCAAAGTTGAGAAAACCTGCTGTAATCAAATTGATTACCTGCTTTTAATTGTCTTCATGTATTCCAGACCCACATTCTAAACCTCACCTGCCCTTCAGGGACAGGAGCCAAGTCTGGAGTGACTTCCTGCAGAAATCTTACGGTAAATGTACAGATATTTGGGTAATCACCCATTATCCTAAATTGTTTTCTACAGCTATTCCAAATTATTTACATTTTTCTCATCAGTTTTCCATGAATTTAATTCCTCAACTAGATCATAAGCTCCTTAGAGCAGGATTTGGGGGACTTTGCTTCTTTGTGCCTTGAACTGAAAGCATTCAAAATTTTTGTGGGTTTGGGAACAAATCAGATGTAACAACTATAAAAATAATGTATTTCGAAAGTGGGGCATAGCACGAGTTAGCTTTTTAATAAACCTGGAAGCATGACTCAGTTATAGCAAAAACTGGCCACCTAAGGACAGGTGTTGACAAAAGGCACAGCTTACAGAGGGATGCAGTATCATTTCAAAACCTAGCAAGTTTTTTCTTATCTTCTGTGGTTCTTTTGTGGGAGTCCTGCCTACTGACCTGGATTCTTCTAAAGCTCAGGTTGTATTAAAAAGTTCCAAACTAGAGCTGAATTGTACTTTTGCAATTTCTTCTTCCACGACCCTGTAAGGTCTTCTCCAAGGGTGTTAAAAGCAAATTACTTGTTTACTGTTCTCACCCTCCCTGCCCACTTTATCATCCCTAAGTCAACATTCTTTAGGAACACAAAATGCAGCTCCAATATTAGGCTCTGTTTAGTGCTGTATCCTACCTAACACAGCAGGTCCGATCATTAGTGTTTGTTGGAAAGAACACTTAGGGATAACCTGATTGAATAACCTTAGTTTCCTAAAATGAAAATGTTCCACTGTGAAAAAGATGAAGGCTTGATGGCTAGTAATGTCGTGCAACTACAACAAAAGGTGGAATAGCTATTTGGGGTTGTGTAAATTATTCCTGGGAGTAGGGTGGGGATCTTGGGGGGAAGATCGGATTGAGGAAATGAACGACTTGGTGGCGGAAAGGAGTCAACGTTAAGGGGGAAATCTCTTCTAAGAATAATGTCGGGAAATGTTATACAGCTAATGAGTTGACTGTCTAGCGAGAGACCCGTGGCCTCAAGCTGGGAGAGCCCCGGGAACGTACGGGTAAGGCGAGGGACTGAGGGCCCGGAAGTCCGGGGAGACACCTGAAGAAACGGCCCAAGGCCTCTGAGAGCCGACCGCAGCCAGTGAGAGGGCTGCCCTGCCCGCGTCCTCCCGAGGAGGGGCGGCCACCAGGACCGCGGGCTCTTCCCCAAGGTAGGCGAGGCTCCGGCGGGGCCGGGGGCTGGGAGCCGGCCCGCGGGCGTGGGAGGACCGGGGAGGCGGGCCCGCTGGGAGGGAGCGGGGTCCGGGGCTGACCTGCGGCTCCCGGGGCGGCCGGGGCGCGGCCGGCTGGCGGAGGCGGGCGCAGTACTCGTCGGTGGCCTTCACGGCGTCCACCAGCCCCTCGGCGCAGCGGCGCATCTGGCCGATGGTGTCGGCCGCCTCGATCAGGTCGCGGTACCGCTCGCCCACCATCTGCCGCAGCTCCTCCTTTTTGTGCTCGATCTCGGCCCGAACCTGGCGCTCCAGCCCGCGAATCTCCTCCGCTCCATGTGTCTCGAAAAGCGCCGCGGGGTCGCGCAGATCCAGCCGTTTCAGCGCCGAGGACGTGGCCGTCGCTGCCATAGCGAACCGCTCAGTCGTCCGACGGGCCACTTCCGCCCGGCCGCCCCGCCCCGCGGCCATATTGGTTCGGGGCGGAAGCGTTTCCGCCCCGCTGGGTCCATGCTTATTTCGGACTCCTCCGGGCGGAAAGGGGCGGTATTTTTTTCAAAGTGAGGTTGTGGGTGGGCTGATCGCTAAGGTTTGCGGCTCGTCTGTGGTCCACCTTTGCGGGCATCTGATACTCCTCTGGCGCAGGGAGCCTTACCCTGTCTGCGTTAATTACCGTAACTCAGCACCCGCTGTCTGATTGTAACGTCGGCTCGGGACGCTCGCGTCCCTTTCTGGTCCATTTGCGACCGCGGACGGTGGTCTTTCCCCCGCGATGCGCGATTCGCTCTGCGCCGATCCCTCCGCTTGGAAGCCTGCAACCGCGGGTGAAGCGGGCTGGCCGGCGTCGGGTGGACGCAGCGAGCTGGAGATTGGTAGCGGGAGCCTCTCCCCGTGCCACTGCAGGCGCTGGGCAGACGGCCTCCTGTGGGTGGTTGGTAGCCGTAATTTTCTGTTCTTAATCGCGTGCAGTGCCAGGAAAATAGAAGTCTGGGTCCGCTTTTGTTCATCGGAACGAGTAACTTGACAGTGGCCTCGAGTCGGATGGGGCATGGGGACAGGATTCCTCCCTAAGGGATGCTTGTCCTCTTGTTTGCTTCTGCTTTGCTGTTGGTGGTGGTTCTTTGGAATTTTCGTTTTTGTTTCAAACCAGTGGTTAACCACAGAAGATGTTTCCCTGCATGACAGAAATCCAGAGAAGCATATTATGTACCTGCTCAAGTCATGTAGCTAATAAGTGATGGAGTCAGACCTAGATATTTGAACTCCTGGCTTGTGCCTTTCCTGCCTTGTCGCACCGCTTCCTGCAAACTCAGAACAGTCCCAGGTGGCGGGTCTGCCATTTGCCCTCACTGCGATTGCATTCTTTAGGGGAGATTTGCCGGCGTTTGGCTGCCTAGCATCTGCGGAAACTCTTCTATGTTTGGGAAAGTCACCTCTGTGTGGCAAGATCTTTTCCAGGGACCCCTTACAGCTATGGTGCAAGCCTGTGCCCTGGGATTGGCCACTCAGACACAGCCACCTGGGACTTGAAATGGAGAAGTAGCCATGTCATGAAGCGGGGCCAGTGGAGATTTCATGTTGGTGCTGGCAGAGGTACCCCTGTAACATCCAATCTCCAGGGCAGCAGGGGCATTAAATCCACCTGGAGCTCCCAGCTGCCAGTGCTGGTGCTAGGGGCAGCTGTGGGTGACCACAGCGAGGTCCTCACCGGAATTTCCCTGTGTCATGCTTTGACTGGGTTCTGCATGTTAAACGTCCGTTTCTTCCTCTCTGGCCCCTGAGCCTGGTTCTTCAGCTTTCCCAGATGCTTTGAGCCGTCCATGTTGATAAATTTCCCTTCTTTGAAAATCAGCACCAGTTTTGGTTGCTTGCCCAAGAGATGCTAACCAACACAGGCCTCCGAGCTTCCAGTCCGTGAGAGTTTAGCTGATGTCCTTCTAAAAGCAAGAGGGAGGAATGTCAGCATACCAGCAGACTGTGGGGGCCTGGAGATTTCTGCATGACGCGTCTTACCCTTGTGCGCACACCTGTCATTTAAGGTATAGGAAGGGGGCTGGCCAGGTGATGTCTCTGCTGTGGAATCAGGGTGTTGAAAGCCATGCCTTCCCTCCCTTGTTTCTCTGCTTCTCCAGCCAAGTTCATCTGGTTGCCCTGAAGATGCCAGTGTTGCTCTTCTGCCTGCGGAACTGAGTGCATAACAGAAGCTGTTACCAAACCTTCTTACCTGGGCACTGGAAACACTCCTGGGGCTTGACTTTTTCTTCTCCATGCCTTCTTTCCTTCTCCCCACCCTGCATCAAGGGAATAGCTGTCCCTCTTCAGCCGCCTGTCCTTCTCTCGCCCTACCAAAAATTCAGGATGGGCACAAAGAGCTCAGCCTCAGCAGCTCGGCAAGATACTGAGCTGGGGACAGAGAGGCAGAGATGAGAACTAGAGTCTTATATCTCAAGGACGCATGGGAGTAAAGGGCATCTCCTGATCATTTAATGTTGGTTCAGGGATGAGAGAGAGAGAGAGAGAGAGTGTGTGTGTGTGGTGTGATTCTTGGATGTCATACTGCTTTTTTTCACCATAAATATTAAGAGGTATAATTGGAAACATCAATGTTTTAATTGAAGAGATTGTGTTTAGATCATCCTAGGCCCCTGAAATCAAACCCAGGCTTTCTGCTAATTATAATAGCTGTAATTTCAAGTACCATCTGTATTAGCTTTATCTTTGAACATATTGTCTTTAATTCTAACTAATTCTGTAGCAGTGGTAGTCTTACACTCCCTTGATAGATAAAACAAAACTCAGCAGGGCCAAGTAATCTGCTTCAGATTATAGAGAGTCGGTGTCCAGTCCTGTCTACAGATCCCAGTCAATCTGACTCTGAAGTCCTTCCTACTTTGCCATGTTATTAGATTTAAAGTTTAGAACATCAAGAGACCAATGGGCCAAACTATTCTGAGTTACACTGAGATGGCGACCACACTGCTTCCTACCTTTTGCCTGAAGGTGGGTCTCTGCAATTGTACAGGCAGTTTGGGGATGCAAGCCAGAGGGTCTCTCCAGTGATTTGGGGGCAAGTGGCATACAGGGTGGCCGTGCTGGTAGCCAGGGATCCACATGTTCTAGGGCTATCTTTTCAAAACTGGGAACACGTTCTGACATTTTTGCTTTCTCTAAGCCCATCATCACTCTCACCTCATTGAGAACATTGAGGGGGCAGGTTTCTCCTTGCTTTTTAATAGAAATATGGAAAGCAAGCCAGCATAATGCCTAAAATTGGAGGGTTTTTACAGATCTTTGGAGATACCACATGTTCTCCTCCCCTCATGTAATATGTGGTCTCGCTTCTGGGAAGGGGTTCCCCCAGATCTCGGCTCCCTGACCAACCTATTCAATAAATATCTGCAAAGCAGGTGAATAGTGTCATGCATATGGGTCACATAATCACAGAGTAGGTGCTCAAAGGATGCATTGGAAAAGGCGAAAGGCTCTTTTACTGTCAATAGCCCAATAGTTGAAATATAATGAGCAGTAAGGCAGTCCTCACCCATGTCACACCCACTGCAGCACCTTGTTCCAGTACCTCTGCTTTTATGTAAGGCGGCTGCATTTTTTGGCGTGTCAGTGTTCATCTGAAGAGGGAACCTGCCAAATCTCACACTGGTATCCTGATGATATTGGAGGGAGGGGTATCTGCTCACAGAGTCAGGGTGGAAGGGAGTCTTGGCACACTCAGAGAAGAAATAATGAATGGAAATTGAAATTAGGAGTTTGACTCTGGCTGAGCTAGGAGAGATGGAAAGGGAGAAAGCAAAAAGGAAGAGAAAAGGAGAGGTATCGGAAAACAAGTTAACAGGAGAAAAGACAGGGCCCTTGGATCTGGTGAAGGATGGGCTGTGTCAATAAAAGGAATGTCAGGGGTTGGACAGAAGTTTGAATTCCTGAATTCCAATCTGCCGCCCAGTGGGATTCAGACATTTGATGTTTGCTCTCGGCTGAGATGCCAGTGGGGTAAAGAGAGCCTAATGCAGTCTTCTTGACATCTTATCTTTATAGCAAGTTTGTCAGCCTGTGTCTACGGGAGGTGACATTTGTAGTAGAAGGGGCCATTGTTTGACTTACCTGTTTGCAGATACCTGAGACTCTGGCTTCAACAAATAGCCAGGCAAGCATTACACCTGCTGAAGGGAGCTGCACGTCTGAGCAGCACACATTCCCAATACCGTGACTAAAAACAGTGATAGCAAAGTTCACACTCCACACTTAATGTCCTAAACTAGTATGTAGCTGAGGGCTTACTTTGTTAACTAGTTCTGTGCTCGATGCTATGGAGAATACAAAAGATATTTGATGAAATGTCAATGATTCTGTAAGAAGCTCTGAGTTCTTTCCAAGTCCATTGCCTTTTCCCCTTTCCTGCCAGTTCACTCTCACTGATGAGGCCTTCTCATGTGTATTGAGAAAATAGAAGTCATCAGATGGGAATGTCCTATTAAATCCGCTACACCTACCAGCCTGCTTGAATATGTACTTAGACACCTTCTACCTCTCCTCTTGTTCCAAAGAACAAAGTGTTTCTGCTCCTTTGACCTCTGGCTCCCCCTTCCCACCTCTCAGAGACCTCACTTCCTTTTCTCTCCTGCGTCATTTTTCTCTCTCCCAGCTGGAGCATTCCTATTACAGATAGGCCTCCGTTTCTGAAAGTTTGAGTTCACGACTTTGCTTTTGTGTAAGCCCTACACTGGTACCTGTTCTGCTAACCAGAAGAAATCTAAACTGGATTTTTGCTTTTACAAAAAAGGTAAGAAGTGAAAGCAGCATCAGGCGTTGGTTTTGCAGCCAGCTGGGAGAGGGCAGCGCGTGCCCAGAGCAGCGAGAGTGGCGCCACCAAGCTCCTTTCCCGGGAACCACCCAGCGTCTGAGCATCAAGCTGCCAGAGCTTTGAGTGGCGTCTGAGCACCTGGGCTTTATCTTGACTGGTTTTGTGCATCTGCTAGCACGATGTGTCCTATGGTTTCAGGAAAGCCTAAGAGATGTGATTTTTGGTGTCTGGCAATGCTGTAGATTTTTCCATATGAATTAATAGTAATTGCTTCTTCACTTTACGCTATTTTGTCTTACAAAAGGTTTCATAGAAACGCTCTGCTTTTGGGTAATGGGGAAACCCTGTGTCTTATAAAATATTCTCTAGCATCTCCTATCTTATAAAAAGGCTCCTTTGCTTACATGTCTCCTTCCGGCCTTTGCCCATTTCTCCTGTCTTCATCAGGATGAAATGTCTTGGTAATTGCTCCCTCCGCAAATCACCTCCCATTGTCTTCCTCAGCTCCACCCATTTCAGGGCTTCCCACACTGCCAGTCCATTCACCAAGGCCCCCCTTTCCATCTTGCTAATATCTCAGTTTCTGGGCATCTCAGCAGCGTTGGGCATAGCTGACCTGCCTCTCTGTGATGTGCTCCAGGCA